TTCGCAAGTAATTTCGCTGCTTAATTTTGAATTTAGTCTCAGGTGGGAGCCTAGCACCTGGATGTTTACGTGGCTTTGAAGCCGCAGCTCTCGCTTCTTTCAGTAAAGACTCCAAACTTTTGATATGCCTGTCAAAGTCCGAATTGCTGGAAATTTTGATGGGAGGGAGTGAAGTTTTTTCCAAAATAAATCTAAAGTCGTCCCAATTTGTTGAGACTTGCTCCTCTAATTTTGAGTATCGATTTTGAATATCTAGGGATATCAAAACGGGGTAGTGATCAGAGTCCAATTCCTGAATCACTTTTATCTCATGCCGAAAGAATATATTATAAAAGGCAGCCAGATCAAGAACTGCAGGGGACCCTCTATGAGGGTAAAAGGTCGGGAGGGTAGGAGCAATGATCTGTACATGGTTACTCTGGCACCATGAATTTAGACTAATACCATACCTGTTCCTGTTAGAACAAAACCATGCGGTATGGCGTGAATTTAGATCACCAGCAATTATTAGGTGATTTGAAATATTCAAAATTTTATCAAAATCACTGACAGGAAAAGCTGGCCTTCCACGCGCTGCTGTAGACAGTGGAGGTAATAAGCTGAGACTATTGTTCAGCGGGGAGGAATTTTGAAGGAAAATTTTGATGATTGTCGCTTCCAAAAAATTTAAATCAGGGGTCGGTATCATGTGGTGCTTTAACGAACGCTTCACATAGATACAAGTGCCGCCACAGGGATTTCTGCCCTGTGACACCCTGTCAGTACAATAAATGTCATAATTCCCAATTTTGGGAGTATTCCCTGGGGTAAGGTGAGTCTCTTGGACTAAAAACACGTCAATATCGTGCTCTACTACAAAATCACGAACTTCGTGAATTTTTGGAGTTAAACCATTGGCGTTCCATGTGCAAATGGTCAGTTCTCTGATGGTGTTTGAACTGTTATTTATACAATTGAATTTTATGCCGTTGTTAAAGGTTCATCACTGAAAAACAGAAGACATGGGTCTAAAAAGCCTAATTAGGTTGAAAGCTCAACATAGCTTTCATAAATATAAAATGCCCTCATTAAAGCATCTGCTTGCCTGAGTTTAGGCATTGCTTTTTTGAAGGCAAGGAGCAGAATATGCTTGTCTACCGCTGGGTCGCGGGAGATTTCAATTAAGCATTTTAGTGTAGATGAGAAGACGTCGTCTGAATCATTGCTACACTCTGCTGTGGCTGACACTGCTGGGGCTGCAGGGGCTTCTGCAACCGGCAGTCTTGGATTCGTGGATTTGAATCCGTGCTCGGTGGTGTTCTTCACCATCTGTGCATAAGATGGTGAACTGACGTTGCTTGGGGGAGCAGGCATGGGACGTATTGTCTCAGCAGTTGCTGGGGGCTTAGAAGAACCCTGAGGGGGGGCTGTTTGAGCAGCTGCCCTAGTCCTAGGCGCGGAATTTTTACCGCGAGCCCGTTTGTTGCCTGGGTATCGGGGACAAGATTTGTACGAATGCTGGGTGATCTCCACCGCAGTTGCAGCAAGTGGCTGGTACATCTAATCCTTTGGTACACTCACGTGCCCAATGGGGTCCAGAGCATCTGACACAACGGATTGGAAAGAGTGCAGAGTTCCGAAGAATGGAAAAAGCCCTGGCACCGAAAGCATTGAGTAGGGCCCTTGCGGCCGCGGTAACGCTCAATGCTGATCTCTGTGCCCCACATGTCAGTGACGGCAAACAGATGATCGAGGAAGGGGTGTGGGATAACTTGTAAATATACAAGTGGCATTGGGTGTCTGGAGCCAGGCTGAGTAAGCCGAACGATGCGATGCACTTTAAATCCCATCGCCTCAACTTCCTCTTTGATATCCCCGATTTCAGTTTCAACAGGGAGGCCTCTGATAACAATTTTAACTGGCCGGTCCTGCTTTAAGTCGAAAGTTTTGAACTGGATGCCGGCTTGCTTCATCCAGCGGGTAACCTCCCTGAACTCCAGCTCTGTCTGAACAAAAATTTTGAGATAAGGTCCAGTCAGTATGCTCCGTAAGTTTGGGGCAATTTCTCTCATGAAAGACACTTGCGTCTTCCAGTTTTTGCTGCTTTTGAGATGTATTGCCGGAATCTCAGACTGCGGTGGTGGTGGTGGGGGAACGTTCCGTGCCTGCTCGGAATTAACTCCCTCACTATTACTAGCAGTAACAATTTCTGCGTCATTAGAAGTTTGATCATTGATTAAAGAATTTTTTGATTTTCTCATACTTGTTAGTACTCCTCTCCTTTTTAGGAGTAGCATTTTTTTCGAATGGCTGTCAATTTAGAATTTGGAATAGTAGCTATTTTTTCTTTAGCGTTTAAAGCCAAATCATCTATTGTAAGATCCACAATAGGCGCCTTCCCTTGCTTTCGAGCCGCGGGGGTGATAAACCCGTCTGAGTCTATTGTCTGCGTCTTTCGCTTCCGCGATGACGTAGACTGGACTGGTTTCCCCCGCACCTCGTGCTTGCAAGGATCTTCTGCGGATTGAGCGGCGGCCATCTTGGCTAAGCGCTCGCTCTCCAATATATTTAAAAATTCCTCTCTAGTTGAGGGAAGATGAAAAATTGGAACATCTAGAGCATTAGCAATGTCATTTATCTTGTGAAAAAGTGACTTACCCGCCCGGTCGAGTTGATCGTATCCATTAGTGTCCAACGGAGAAGGAGTTCGCTTCATGAAGCTCTTCTGCCTCTGGATAGCTTCAAACTGTTGCTTCAGATCGTAGAACTGTATTACGAGGTTCATGCGCTCGTCATCTGGCGACGCCGATTGCACAGAGGGAGCATGATCCCTGGTCTCACTCATTTCTTCATCAATAACCACATTGTTTTCGCATAAATTCGGAGAATTGCCCTGCGTTGGCGGGAGCTCGTTACACGAGCGACCGTCACCCTCGCTGTTCATCCTCGGAATCCGAACGAGTACGCTTGCGAAGATTGCGTTTAACCAATGGAATTATTTGTGACAAAAAATCACGTGACGCTGTAATGTAGATTTGTTCAACGGAGATGTCACCTTGTTACTTCACTGTGTTTCTATATGTTTGGGGCAAGATGTCAGAATGAGATAATTTTTAATAGCTGAAACATTGCTATTAAGAACAATCATTAAGCTGAAGCAAAATGGCAAAACACGGCGAGAATGGGTCCGAAAGATTTATTCAGAGCGACCTGTTCAAAGAGATATTTTCCTAACTGCCTCGTTTGCGAAATGAATATCCTGAATTATTTTTAATTACTTCAGAAGGAGTATCGACCAGTTTGACAGACTTGCAGATTCTATATTGTATGAAAATTAAGATTTATATAATTGGTCTGGGCTACATTATATATAAAGAGAATTAAGTTACTTGAAACACTATCCACCATATAACAAAATCAACTTCACATTTTTTAATCTCTCCCTCCCTTGGTTTGCTTGTTTATGTGTGGTATGGAGTACGCGTAAAGGAATCTTTGTAATAAGTAAAGCGTTCTATAATTTGATAATTTTCTATATATTATCACACAAATAAATATGAAGAAAAGGTTCATCCAATAAAATTTCTAAAGATATGCTGTTTTTAAATATTTTTGGCACAATGTGACGTTAGCCTTAATGCACTCGAAACATGTACGTAGCTGTAAAGGAAAAAAAAGGCCCATTTGAGAGTAATATAAAATCTGAAAGCTTTCAGACTTTTTTCTTTTGTTTTTCTTTTACTTAGTTTTGAATTTAGAATTTTGGACAGTTTGTGTAAAATTATGTGCAGGATAAAATATACAATAAAGTAAAAATAAAGAGATAATTTATACAAGAGACGTAGATATATCATTACATAAGGGGTTAATGGTTTCCATTTGAAGTGCACATTTTTAAACTAAATTTAAAACAATAATAATAATATATAAAGTGAGAAATGAAAACAATAATAATAATAGGCAAATTAGGAATATAATGATTCATGATTAAATATAAGAAACACGCTTCAAAAAGAGAAAAGCTAAATTTGATTTACAGTAGTTATGGGTGTGGTTCGAGCTTGCAACCTTTCCCTTTGCAATAGAGTATACTGACCATTCACTCAGCTATCTGTGATAGCACTTATTATATTATGAAAAATAATGTAAGAAGTCACTGTAAAAGTAATTTAATTAATATTCAATAAATGATTGACGTGTGAACCAAGTTGTAACTGCCCTCGAAAATTTCGTAATTGTATTTTATTGAATACTCATTCACAGTCACACTGCTTTATTTTAGAAATTGTTATATTGCTGAACTTAGTTTTGGGTGTATTTAACATGTAACTTAGTTTTGGGTGTATTTATAGAGCTTTTTGTTACACATGAAATAGCGAATATTTATAATAATTAAGGAGAAAGTAAGAAACTTCGATTTGTAAGGAAGAAACTTCAATTTCGTAGAAACTGTAATTCATTTAGGTTCCTATTACTTACGGTGCTATAAACAAGTGAAGCACATGGATATACTGGTTGGATCCTTGCTTTATATAAAGATACAGTTTTTGCCCTTTAATAAGAATTTGAAATTTATACCAATGTATGTGGTTTGAGAAATCTGAGGATGCCGTAAACAAGGCTGATTATTTTATTGCTGTATACAGTTACGATCTATTTAAGGTTCTGACGCCATATTTAAACGGGTAAGAGAGAAAATTTTCCGATTATGACATGTGATTAGAACTCGGTTGGCTATTGGCTGTTGGTTCACGTCCCGGACGAAAAAGCTGAATAGGAGCGAACTCAGTTTAATGCGAATTTACGCTGGCGAAAAAAAAAAAAAAATTTCGTCAACTACGTCACGAGCGTACTCGTGTGGACGGGCCTTAATGCGTACTTAACACTCAAATGTAGTCTAATACCCATGTACTGTAATAATTGTACTCCAAATTGTACTCTAACGCAATTAATATAGTGCACAATTATATATGTTATGCAAATTTTTATACATTAACTTCTCTCTATTATTCTTTTCAAAGAGTGTTTTTAGAGGAGTTTCTGGAAAGCGGTCGAAATCCTGATGATAGCGTCCCCGACATAGTTTTCGAGCAACTTCCTTTCAGCCATCCTGCCTTTCTAAACTTTACCTCTGGCACCACAGGCCTCCCAAAGGGACTGGTTCATTCAGCAGGGGTAATAATTTACGTATATTCGAAATTTTATATTGTAATTCTCCTTGACAGATTTTTGGAATATGCAATATGCAAAAAGTACAATTTTAGGACATAATAGTGCTCTTTTATAAAACTAAAATAAAAAAATAATTCGTTCTCCATTCCTCTACATAAATTTTCATGAAAAGTGGCTGCAGAATGTATTTTGGTACTTACGTATTAACGCCACCGCACTTAACGTATTAACGCCACCGCAGCAGGAGTCGCGTTGATGCGCCAATAAAGAGCAATCCTGTTGTTCGAATGCTGTTATCTTTTGGATTCCTTTTTGTCTTGTTTGCTGATTTTTGGCGCCACTTTTTAGTGCTACGAAAACCCGTCTTTGGGATTTGTCAAGCACAGAAGAAGATGCAATTTTATTTTTTCAGGAGAATTTAATATTTTACCATAAAAAATTAAAATGTACCAATTTCGCATGATATGAAACTTTATTTTGGTTAAACGTACGTTTTGGAAATGTAATTTAAGACAGTATGATCAGCAAGTGGGACTAAGAAAAGACAACTGGTTTCAAGGAATTAGAATTCCATTTTGTTCAGCTATGAGATTCATATACTGTTGGTGCGAGGAGTTGACGTCGATTAAATTTTGTGAAAAGCAACTAGATTTATCAGATAAAACTGTTATAGATTGGAAACAATTACATGCGTGAATTGGATAGGGCGAATAAACGTAGTTATGGTAGGTGGACCAGATTACATTGTGGAAATTGATGAAAAATTGCGTCGATAAGCGTAAAAATAATTGTGGTCGAGTATTACCCGAATAGTGGGTGTTGGTGGTATATGTCCAGAGGCAAAAGATTCGTTTGTTGTCACTGTTCCTAATAGAACTACCCTTCTTAATAAAATTATTGAAAACATTGCAGATGCTAGCACAAATTTATTCTGACAGTTGGAAAGGTTACCTAACAAATAGAATAGAAAAAGAAACATGCTAAAGGTAATCATAAATACAATTTTATTGATCCTGATACAGGAGTTGAGAGAATGTGGGGCTGTGCTAAATGGGGGAACAAGAGACATAGGGGGACAGCGAGATATCATTTAGAATCTTATTTAGCAGAGTTCATATGGCGATAGCATCAGGTCAAAGAAAATAGAGACTGTTTTGAATCTATGTTAAACTCTAACTATCGGACGATTTACCACCGAAATCCAATTGACTATTTTGATTTTAAATAAAGTGTTTTAATTTATGATTTGTCGCAAAAATTTTAGGTGTAGGTTGGCGGCACTTAAAAACCGCCAAATCTGCAGCTACGGTGGCGTTAATACGTAAGTACCCGTATTTTCGTAGAATATTGCTGGCAGACGTTTATTTCCAATCATAAATTTTATTCTAGCACGTTTTTTCTTTAAGGCTAATCTTTCTTGGACTTCCACCTTGCCAACGCAGCCATAAATTCAAATTATGTTAATATAAACAGCGAGTTAAAATGTAACTCAAGTGAAAGATTATTGGCATTCTTAGGAACTATAAATCTCAGATTTTAACTCTAAGCCTACCATTTTGCTGTGCTGATTGGGGATTTTTTTCCCCGTAAAAAAATTTAAATACTATTGCGTTGTCGTCCAACAAGAAGCAAATGTCAGGTTTTTATTCATGTTTTAGTTTTTTTTTAACTTTAAGTCAAAGTGCAAATAAGTAAATGCTTTAATTGCAAATTTTTTTTGTATTGGATATTAAGTTAAAGAAGCGACAAAAATTCATCTGATAATCCAGGAAGTTTAATCCAGTGTTTATGGTTTAATCTTACAGAGTTACAAAATTTGTCCAAATGAGATAAGAACTTTAAAAGAGACTTCAATTCTATTGTGAGTATGTTTTTTGAATATGATATCTATTTTTTAATGTTTCTTTCAATATTTAATTCCCTGTATTAAAACAATAAATGTATACTAGTGTACAATATTCTCGGCCATTTAATAAGCTTAACATCTTCATACCTTTACATGCACAGCTTACAAAGAGACCGATATGTTTTCATAGCCTATTGCTTGCTCTCAATCACGAAACACAAGCCGTCAACAAAATTTAGGCACCAAATAAGAGAAAATACCTTGCTGGTTTCGAGATTAAATCTAAAATTTAGCTCATTCTTCTTCATACATGTACTTTTTTGAAAAATTAGCTTAGAGAATGTGTACAAAGTTCAAAGAATAAGACAGATAGCGATAGTGAAAGATTTTAAAATATATTGGAATAAGAATAAAATTCATGAAGCTCACTTAGTTTCTAATTCTGTGGTCAACTTTACTTCCTTGTACGAAGTAAAAAGTTAGTATTCTAATCGCGAAAAATTTCGGGTATTCTATTTCAACGAAAATATCCATTTTCACCGCTATCGAATGCAATTTAACGATGTTTTTGTGTGACATCTGTACGTAAGGACAGAATAAAGGATTTTCCCCCAAACGAATTTTAAAACCGATTTAAAATGGATTCAGAAGAGATTTTTTCTTGGCGTCTGTACGTACGTACGTATGTATGTATGTATCTCGCATAACTCAAAAATGAATAGTCTCAGAACGTTAAAATTTTGTATGTGGGACTGCTATAACATGTAGTTGTGCTACTCCCTTTTTTGTTGGAATCGGCCGCACCAAAAGTATATAAGTAATATATATATATATATATATATATATATATATATTCACTCTGATATTCGGCTCAGTGAGCTCAGTTTCTTTAATCCTATATGTTTGTAAATTGTGCATTTTTTAAGGCTTTTATGCCTTTAGTTAACTTGCATGTAATAGTTGTATAATTATCAACAGTTTAAAAGTTGTTTAAGCATATTTGTTTTTACTATATCAGTCATGTTTATTTACATTTGAAACTTAGCAGAATAGTGGATTTGGTGCTAATCTAGAGAAACTAAACTTCGTAACAACAAAGTAACGTCTTCTGTTATTATTGCGAATTAAATTATGTTTAAATCATTCTGGAATTATCAATTAAGTTATTAAATTCGCCCATATATTCACTCAGCATGGGGTCCACAACAAATGAAATCAGTTTCTACGCTTTCAGTGTCTTTTTGCCGAGTGAGACAAGAAATAAACTTTCAGTTTTATGCACCGAAAAATCTGTCTTCTTGCCCGCTGGTCGAATTGCTTGTTTTTGTGTAGAAATTGTAATTTTTATTGTAAAATTTAAGAAAAACAAACTTTTTAACTGTGTTTGGTGTGTTTTATGTTTTTCTATATCTTTAAATTTTTATTGAAGATATTTGTGTATTTATTATTTTTGCCTTGTCGCGAAGTGAGACCTGAATTAATTGAATGAGAAATACATCTCTAATGAAATTCGAGGAAATAAGTGTTTTATATCAGGAGAAAATACTGTCATAAATCTACGAGTGTCATAAATCTACGAGTAATAAATCTACATGTTTACGAGTAGCGCAAGAGCATTAGCTAAGCAGCACTGAATCATCTGTAAAAAACTGTTTCTTTTTTACTTGTCTAATTTCTTTTAGACGTGGTTTTAGATTTATTACAGTATTTGAATGGAACATGTGGCAAAGATTATATAATTCTTCAGATGATATAATTTTTGAACATTCTGAGTTAAAAAAAGAATGCGATGTAACACTTTTAGGTGAACCTAGCGCCAGAGTATCAAGATGGTAAATAAATATAGTAAATTTTAAAAAGCGCATTTATTCTGTTGTGGTTGATGCGCTATCGACAAAGAAGATTTAATTTAATTCAATAAGCTTAAGTAAAATGCAGGAAAAATTGCATCTAATTTAATATTCCATACAAGGCAGTCATGTGGTGTACACATCAGATTTTTTCATATTATGTGAACTTTGTACAACATTGAGTTGATTTGAATGTATATTGATTTCAAACCTATCCCTATGGTTTAATAAATTTCTGTTCCTTTTTCTTTCAGATGTTAATACCGGAGTTCGAAAACATTGCTTTTGATTATAACTTAAAGAGCGGAGATGTCGTTTTCAACTGGTGTCCGGTAAATGTTCTTTCACAATATTTACCAGCCCATTTTGAAGAGCAATCTGTAAATAAATGAATTTAGAAACGTTCTAAAATTCAGTTTAATCAAGTTAAAAACAGATTTATGATTCATAATTCAAACTAGAATAAATCTTGAGCATGAATGAAAACTTTAGAATAGTGGCAAATGATTGTGATCTAAACAACTATTAACTCTATTACTGCAATAACAGAGGTCTGTGGTTTCTATCAGAAGAATGAAGCGTTTCATTCGTTACTTAGTTTTAAAAACTGCAATCAACATCTTACATAAAAAGAAGAACATTTATAGATAGAGATTTATTTATATATTTAAATACTGACTTTCTATAACATAACACGTTTACTGTACATATATTGCATGCATTATCAATGGCGTTTCCACGGGGATACCTGCCACACTTATTAACAAATAAAAACGAGTAGCCTCAGTAATACTTTAGTTTATAACAGGAAATAGACTTAAAGAACTTAAGTATCTAAATACAGACATGTTTGAGATAATTTTGTTAATACTACTGCAATCACACGTTTGAGCGAAACTTAATGCATCTTTCAAAGAGAGCAGAGTATAAACTTAGAAATATTAAGCTGCGGGGTTCCGTCAGGCCGCCCATCGCTAGACGGCGATGCTGAATTTCAGTAAAGTGAAAATTTGAATCATTCAATATATAGCCTGATGTCTTCTCATGCGACGGCAGATAAACGTCGAAGCAAACGCAACTGAACGGGTCATTTCGTTTTAAAGCATAATCTCCAAAACGCCGCCATTATATATTGAAAAGAGCGAAGACACAACAGCAAGCTGTGCTCTATTGATAAATTCACAAATTCTTCACCAAGTGCTGGATAATGAAGGATGAGAGACATACATCTGCTTACCTCTGGTAGATGCCAAGTGCCCCCGTTCTCCGTCACCTGTCTTCGGTGCCGAAGTATCATAATAATACGTTGTTATTAAAGAATGATATTGTTGCTTGCGTACGGGTTCGTAATGGATTGAATGCACAACTTGATAAAAAGTTAACAAAATTTATTTTTATCCCAAGAAATAAAACAAAATGTTAAAATTTATTCAGAGATATTCGTACAGTATTTATATTGTAAACTACTATAACATTAAATAAAACTCAATTCAAAACATAGAAACGCTAATCCAATCGCACCGCGAATTCGCTACAATCAATAACAGCACTAAGTAAACAACTGAACTGAGATGACTTGATCAGGCTTTTATAAGCTTTTTAATCGTGCACGAGAACATTCTGGTATTTTCTCGATGGCAAAAGAGAACAATTACGAGATATCTATTTATTAAATGTTAAATGCACGTGCTCCTGTATTTTTAATTTTTAGGCATTGCAAGGGAAGTGAAACAATTTAATAACTGTGCGCTGTAGTGAGCTTTGTTTAGCGTAGTAAGAAATGAAATGCGCAATTAACGATATAATTTAATCATTTATTCTTAGCGAGAAGAGAGAGAGTTATTCCAGCTAATACATGTTGCGAGTGAGCGTTCTGCTGCGTAGTAGGAATATATCTCAGTTGCCAATTATCAGAAACTAATCTTTACATTACTTCTTGTTGCCAGATGTAACGGATTGACAATATAAATGCACAATAACAAAAATGCGATGGGAAAGTGCTCCGTCAGCGAAACGATAAAGTTACAAGTATGGAACAATAACAATTCTGGTAATTCATAATAATAATTCATAATTTATAATAATAATTCTTAACCAAAAAAAGCTATCTAAATACAAAAACCGTAATACTGCCCCCTTCCCAAGGACTGCACGTCCCGTGCAGTACAACCCCTGGACAGGAAGCCAAACTTACAACCAAGGCACCAATCCAACAATAAATATTTTATTACAATAAGAAATAACATAAACAATAACTGCAATAAGTAACGTAAAACAAATCAAATATTATCAAATACTAAATACAAATCAAATCAAATACAAATCAGATAAGTGCATAAATTTTACAAATTTAGAAACCAAAAGGACCATGGTCTTACTCTATTTACAATTATATACGCTATTTACTACGAACATAGTAAGGAGCTAACCTGTCGTAATGAACGACTTTAGGTTTAGAGTTCGATGACTTACGGATCCGAACCACGACGTCGTTCAGCCTGTTTAGGACTGTGTCCAAACAAAAGATCACAAGGCAGACGATGGTCACGACTAAAGAGCATCTGAGATGGAGAATAGCCGGTAGTCTCGTAAACCAGTACTCGTGCGATAAGCCAGTAAATACAGCAGTAACTTCTTGTCCCAGTCCTATTGGTTTCTGGAAGCCACCCATGAGAAGGATGGTTCGATTGAACCTCTCTACCATATGCCGTCCGACTGGGGATATAGGGGCGTCTTTTGAGTTTTACCAATGACGAGTAGCTTGCAGAGTTCTTTGATTACAGCCGAGGTAAAATTCCTTCCTTGATCCGAAAGTAACTGAAGAGGCACTCCGAACCTGGAAATCCAGTGCTGTATCTTCATCTCTGTGGTGGTGTGCACTACTAGGAGGCGTTGTAATGTGACAATCTATCCAAATATTTATCTAGAAATCCTTAATTAATTTACATGTGCCCAATATATTTACTGGCTTCAATTCTTAGTGATCGTACATTGCGTATTAAATCCTAGCATCAAGGACAATTAAATATTTCACTTACCCAATAACCCACGTGCATGAGACTTGCGGAGACAAATTTCTTTTTCTAATCTCACATTTGTTTTATCAAAAAACACCTTTTCTGGATTAAATATGGAACACTTATCACACACATATAAAATATCATAACTTAGAACACAAAGCGTGGGAACCTAAAATTGGAATAGTAGACGAAAACAGAACACGTGTCCGTTAGCTAACAAATCAAATCGACTTCCATCACAATTTATGTAGTCGAAATTTTCTCATATTAATTTCGTGCAGTGCACGCGTTATTATTATACACGTGCAAGCTCTTTTTTCACATTCACATTCTTTAACACACATAAAATATCACGGGTGACACATCGCTGGTCATGCATTTTCTGGAGTCGAACACCTATAGATAATCTGCTTGAGATCTTTTAAAACGTTACCGTGGCAGATGGATTTTTAAGCTGAGCATTTTCATCTAAATGTATTGCAACCTTATCGTTCTGCTTCTTTTTATGCAAAAAATACGACGACACTCCATGTGAAATATGCAGGAACGATGGAACTCCATCAGCGCGATATGCAGGAACACAAACTCGCACAACGTGCGGTGTCGCTGATTGCCAAGCGACAGTAGGTAGGACACGGGCGAAGAAGAAAAGGGCAGAAACTAGTCTGACCGGTGCTTATATACATACGTGCAGTTCCGCGAACTGTGACAACCTCTTGATCAGGAATAGGGATATGCTTCAGACCACTTGGTGAAGTAAACAATGACAGTCAACGGCGATACGTTCAAAAGGCTCTCCTACGTTGTAACGTTGCAACTTGCCTCGGTTGCGTTTTCTTCCGTCCTTTCCGACCAGCACAAGCATCGCAAGATCGGCACCACCTCTGCACGTCATCTTTCGCATTACTCCAGTAGAAGCGCTCTCGAACTCTCTGCAAGGTCTTTATTATTCCAAAGTGGCCTCCTGTAGGGCTGTTATGCAGTTTTTTAAGGATGTTCGGGATCCGAGATCTTGGAAGTACCAGCTGCCATCGGAACGTCTTTCTATCATCCGATTCCACTATCCAGTACAAGGCGCCGTTTCGAATATGGAGTGAGTCCCAGAGTGCCCAATATTGTTTTGTTGTAGGTAGATCTATAGATCGAAATGTCCTGCCAAGTAGGTTTTCTGTTTGAAGACTCCATTAAATCAATTATGTGTTTAATGTCACCGTCTTCCAGCTGGTCTTTCCTGACTTCACTAGGAAGTCAGAAAAGAATTTCAAAAATAAATTTTTTAAATAACAGCGGCTCTTGTTAAGTCACAGTGCTTATGGGATAACATTCTTCACTGGTTCGTAATCGGTATAGCCCACCAGCGGCCGAATGTTAAAGTCGCTGAACACTGGTAGTTCGGTTCGAGGATCGAATTCCGCGAACGGGCTGGCTGCATGGGCGTTTTCGTGGTTTTCCCCATGTGTAACGTGTATACGAGCCAGTTTCCCTTAGAAAGTCTTCCGCGAAGCCATTCCCCTCCTTAGGCAGATAGCCCTCGAGGCTTTGCCATAATCACATACACTCGTAATCAGTATAACACAATGCCAAAAAAAATCTACGTTGTCAATAACAAATGTCACATTGCACACTTTCTGTATGTCAACTTGGGATTCATTTATTGTTTTTCTTAATAATGTTTCATATTGAGGAATGTTTCTGCCAAACTCTAGGGAAACAAATTTATACCATCTTGAATTTTATGCCTGAACAATCTACATGAATGCTTATAACTGATGCGGCAAATTTGACATCATGTTCGACAGCATGCGATACATATTTCCCAATAAATAATGAAAACAATATTATCATTATTTGAACTTGTGTTGTATGAATAAATTTAACTAAGTTGCATTTAGTATCAATAAGATAAATGTTTTGTCCTTTTATGTGCACCAGGTGGGTTGGACCGCTTGGGATTTCTTCACTCCATGCCTAGCCCTAGGCATAACTATATTTTTGTACTGTGGTAGCCATTACTGGATAAGAGATGGAAACAACATGTGGGACTTAATTGCAAAGTATAAAGCCAAGTACTGTTTCCTTGTACCCAGCATGCTAGATAAATTAGAAAAGTTGCAGATTGTACCAAGTAAGTCAACATAAATACAATTTCTCGTTAATTCAAATAAAACTGAAATCTCGAAACCAATTAAGGATAACTGCTAGCAATTAATTTTTACATTAATTAATTTTAGCAATACATTTGAAAGTAATAGACGCAGTTCTTTAGAATATTAGTTTCTTACTTTTGAATCGAATTGATTTAAGCAATAAAACTGTATTTAATTCAAGATTGCTCTAATTAAAATATTTAGTATTTTCGAAGAATGGCGTGATTTTTTTTATTATTTATTTATTTCATATTAAACGAATTTTTGATTAACGGATTCGACGATTAGAAAGCGAGTAGTGGCAATACTGTACGGAATAAAACATTTTTATCCCAGTATGCAAGACTATGTAACCGAAATTCTAAAACTTTGGTGTTTTAAAATATTTCGTAATTTTATTGTTAAATTTAATTTTATGTGGCATAAGTCCGATAAACGTGATATTTAATAAATAAGGTCAACACGGAAAACGTTAATAATAAAAAGACAAAAAAAAATTTGAAACCTTTTATATCTCTTACAAGCGAGAGTGCCCGATGCCAATTAATTTGATTGAGAGAAAGCGAGAGTGCCCGATGCCAAATAATAAGATTGAGAGAAATGTATCTAAGAACAGAGAGAACGATAAGGCTGTAATCCTTCTCTAATAGCGATGCAAAAAATACGATTCATAGTCCTACTGTAACGATCTTAAGTTTTACTAACGTTTATTTTATTTTAAATCTTTACTATCACTTCTTATTTTCTACTTCCGGCCAGAATTATAAGCGTTAACGTATTTATTCAAAGTTTGTCTGGCGAACGCCAAGTACTTAAGTTGTGGCTTTTTGCCAAGCGAGAGAGAGAGGAGGAAGCAGTTAGTCGAAGCAGGCCGCTTACCTTAGAAGTTTTACTCAGTTGCTGGTTGCCTTCCAGGCCAGAGGTTTTAATCCTCTTGATAATTTTAAACGTATTGTAGTGTTAACAGTTCTCTGTACTACATACGGCTTCCTGTTAATATAAGGCCAATCTTCCACGTTTATTATTTTCCAAAGTTAAATTAGAGTTTAGTTTTATTTTTATATTTTACGTTTAGACCACAAGTAGTGGGTCTCTGTATTCCGAAGTACGGAAAGTTATTGTAAATAGAGAAAAATAAAGGGTTTTGTATACCCTTCTTGTGTATCCTGTCTACTTCCCACAGTTATTGAACATAGCTTTAGTAAGCTCTCTGTTCCGAGTCAGGTCCTTGCATGTTCCCGAAGAAGAAAGTAAGACGGAACATTGAACCTGATAGTGGCGCCCAACGAAGAAGAATAACCATGGCCGAGTTTCAAGAAGAACCTGTGCTGCCTGCAGAAGCGGCTCAGAATCCAGAAATGCCAGCTGCCGCCCTGGAAGGATTTGGTTACATCGTCCAGACCATGCGCGCTTCGATGAAACCAGAAGCAACATTTAATGGAAACTCACCGGTAACCAGTTTTTTGGAAAAATTGGATGACCACTTCATGCTCTACCCCGTGCACGAATTTCAAAAAGTTACCTTAGCTACCAGCGCTTTGAGGGGCCAAGCGCTTAACTGGTTCAAATGTATAGGCAGAAGTCTCTTGGGTCAAGCAGGAAGTCCCACCTATACTTACGAGAATTTCAAGACTGCCCTAGTAAAAGCCTTCCCTGTCGTAAGGGATCGTGCGAAATTAGAAACGGAACTTTTCAGCATATATCAGCAAAGAATCGAAAATCTCTCAAGCTTTATTTTAAGAAAAATTCACGTCTTCAAACTCTTGTATGGAAACCGTCCGGATCCTGAGATAATTCAAGTGATTTTGCCGAGGTTACTGCCCCAAGTGCAAGACTTTATTGAATTAAGAAATCCGACTACACTGGAAAAGTTATTTGAGCTAGCAATCCAGTTTGAAAGTAGAAGAACGGCGGACATTGAAAGAAGACGCCAATATCAACAGCGAAACCAATTTGGTGCGCCAAGACCTACAGCAAACTCAAGCACACGGCTACGGAAGCAAAGCGAATCAGTGGGCAAGGAAACCCGAGCATTCAAAAACAGCCGGCGAACGTCGACAGTTCAATAGCAATCCAGGAAAAAAGTCTCAAGGCCAGTGGAAAAAGAAGGAAAGCACGGAAATGAAAAATAATTTAAACTAAAACGGATTTCTGCTGACGGGAGGGTGCGGAAATCCGAAGGCCACGAAAAAACCCCTCTTCCTTCAAGTTAAATACAGTAATGGTGAAAAATTTGACTCTTCCGAAGATTGAAGTGTTGGTGAATAATATCCCAGCCACCGCACTCCTGGATACAGGCGCGCAGTGTTCCTGTGTGGCAGAAGATTTTTTTAGGAAGTATTTTCGGAAATACCGCATATATAATTCGGATAATACGACAGTGTTAGCGCGCGCAAGGAGAAAAAATGTAAGTGTATAGGTAAATTACCGCTGTATGTCCGTATCAAGGACGAACAAGTAAAGGTTATGTTTTTATAGTAAAGAATCTGCAAGCACATATTATCTTAGGAATAGATTTTCTTTCAGAGGCACAAGCAACGCTGGATTTTAATGAAGCGTCCCTTAAGCTGACGATGAAACCAGTTCGTGAGAAGAAAAGGCTGAACCGCCGATGTTAAACCTTGACCACCTGCCTAATGCTAATGACGAGCAACGAAGAATCCGACAAGTGGTAAGTGAATTTGCTTCGTTATTTAGTGATATTCCAGGATTTACTCAGGTTACTAACCATAGTATTGACACCGGAGATTCAATGCCAGTTCGCCACAAAGCATACCGGTATGATAAGAATAAGGAAAAAATTATAGAATGGCATATCACCGATATATGCTACGTAAAAAGATCATAACGCCCATCTCAAGTAGTTATGCTAGCCCGGTGGTTTTATGTAAGAAAAATAATGACTATCCTTTGACACATCCAAAAAGGTGGAGATTCGCGCAATTGACTACCGTAAATTAAACTCCATAACTAAATATCCGGTATATCCGTTACCTATTATTGAAGAAATTCTAAGGAACATAACATCCACCAAATATATGACGACTTTAGACTTAACGACTGGTTATTTTCAAATAGGGGTTAGGCCTGAGGACGTGCCTAAGACTGCTTTTATAACCAAGTCTGGCACTTATGCATTTCTGCGTATGCCGTTTGGCCTTTCAGGGGCACCGGCAACATTTCAGCGATGTATGGACATTGTGTTAAGGCCTGTTCTTGGAAAGTCCACATTTATCTATTTAGACGATATCATTATTACTAGTGATAATCTCGACCAACATGTACAGGATTTAAGACAGGTGTTTTCTTTATTAAATGAGGCCGGTCTAAAAGTTAATGTCGAAAAGTGCAAATTTGCAGCCCCTGAATTAAAATATTTAGGTTACAAAATATCTCAGAAAGGAATCGAGACAGACGAATCAAAAATAATCGCTGTACAAAAGTATCCGACTCCAAACACGGCGAAGAAGCTCTCTTCTTTTCTAGGACTTTGTTCATATTATAGGTCCTTTATAAAAGATTTTGCAGCTATTGCTGAACCATTGTTAAAATTAAAAAGGAAAAAGGCAAGATTCTCGTGGACGGCCGAAGCCAATAGTGCTTTCGAAAAATTAAAACAAGCATTAACGCAAGCCCCTGTGTTGAAATTTCCTGAAAAGGATGAGAATTTAGAAATTTCAGCGGATGCTTCGGATTATGCGGGTAGGAGCGGTACTTTCGCAAAATCAGCAGCCCGTGGCATTTTTTAGCCGAACTTTAAATCAAACACAAAGAAACTATTCCGCGACCGAGAGAGAGGCACTTGCAGTTCTGTTAGCAGTGCAAAAGTTCCGAGTCTATTTTGGAAAGGCGCCAATAACAGTGTACTCTGATCGTGCGGCGGTAACTAGATTGTACTCAGGGGAAAACTTATCCCCAAGGTTAATAAGATGGGCACTCAAGCTACAAGAATATAATCTGGTAATCAAGCATACCCCCGGAAAGGAAAATATCGTAGCAGATGCACTATCCAGAATTAAAATAGATGAAGAAGGTAATACGGTAAAGGCAATGCTCACAGCATATACAATAAATTCCCGAGAAACTGTAATAACCGAACTGGGTAAGGATCCTGAGTTTGGAAGCATTTATGAGTATTTAAAGGATCCTGAAAATTTTAGCCACCAAGATATTGTGGCGATAAGAAATAGGGCGGCCCATTACGAACTAATAGATGGTCTATTATTTTATACAAAAACTACGAATTCCAACAACGAATTTCGACCTGTTATCCCAGCTAGTCTTAGATTAAATATCCTGCAGGAGCTCCATGACAGCCCTTTAGCTTCTCATGCTGGTATTCGAAAAACTATCCAACGCGTACGCGAGGCAGTCTATTTTCCTGAACTGCAAAAGTTAACAAGGGCGTATGTCCAGTCCTGCCCAACATGTCAAGCAGTTAATTATATTAATTTCCGCCCGGCCGGGTTTCTAAATAGTATTAAATCCGAATTTCCAAATGAAATAATTGGCATCGATTTATTGGGCCCTTTCCCAAAAAGTCAGTTAAATAAAAGTCGCTATCTCCTTGTTATGGTTGATCATTTTAGTAAGTGGACCGAAATTGTTCCCTTAAAACGAGCCTCCGCGAAATTAGTTACTGATTCTATTTTAAATAAATATATTTTAAAATACGGGGCGCCCCTAAAAGTTATATCGGATAATGGTCCTCAATTTGTAAGTAATATATTTGAAGACATGTGCCAAAAACTGGGCATACGTCATTTAAAAATGGTCCCGTATCGGCCGCAATCAAATATAGCGGAACGGGTCAATAGAAATATAGTGAAAATTATCCGTAGTTATGTTAAAAATTTTCATAAAAGCTGGGATAACTATGTCAATGAATTTGCTTTCGCCCTTAGGACCGCAAAACATGATACAACGGGCAAAACTCCTGCTGAGTTATTTTTAGGCAGAAAGATTATAACGCCGTTAGATAAATTATTTTATGTGCAACAAAGAGCCCCAGAATTTAAAATGGGTGATATAGAAAAACTAATTAAAGAAGCAAAAAAGAATACTGAAGTAGCACAGAGAAAACAAAAAAACTATATTATGATTTGAAACGACGGGGGGGAGTAACTTATAAAGTAGGGGATGAAGTTTTAAAAATTAAGCATTCACTTTCTTCAGCACCAGAAGATAAAACTGCCAAATTTTTTCCACGATTTGAAGGACCATATGTTATAGAAAAAATAACTCACGCTGTAGTAGTGTTAAAAGCCAGAAATGGTGAAACCTGCTCCGCAAACATTGATCAAATCAAACCCTACTATGATCGTAATAAAATGAAAATTTTCAAAGATCTTTTGCAGGATCCGGCACGGCAGACACCGCAGGCACAAGCTCCAGAGGTGGAAAAACGACAAGTACAAGGGCAAGCCATTAAGAGGCAGGAGCAAGTGAAAAGAAAGTTTCTTCGCGGAAAAATTGAAGGTAGCAAGAAAAAGAAGCCGTTCCACCGTCCAGAAAAGAGAGCTCACGAACACCCCCAGAATGAAGAAAGGAGAAGGACGACGTATGCAAAGAGAACCAGGAGAAATAACGGCAACTATAACCCGGCTCTAAAACGGAAGATCTAAACATCCGACAGGACTCTCCGCAGCAAATGTCGCCGAACTGCGGAAGGGCCACCAGCGACGGAGGAAAAGTTACAAGGAAAATTTGAACGGCCAGCAACGAGGTCCAAGCAGGAACACGACAGAAGTTTCCCGGTTCCGCCAAGACCAGCTGCCATCAAACACCAAGACCACAGGCAGAAGCGAAAAAGAAGGTATTCAAGGGTGACCGAACTGGAGAAAAAAGAAAGCATCTAGAGGAAGGCACTGAAGGGCGAGCCCGTACAAAACGGAGGATAAATCAAACAACAATCTGCACTACCTTTCAGGACTGGGCCCAGAAAAGAATGTCCGAATATCACAAAGATAAGTAAAATTTTATGTTACTTTGCAAACTTAAGTTAATCTTTCATTCTTACTGCAAGTGGCAGATTTCAAGAAGTTTTACCTCATGCGAGGTCTACCTTTATCGCCAAAAGGGCGAGAAATGAGTTGTTACCGATTTTGGTATTATGTTTTTCAATTACTCGCGTGTAAAAGTAAAGTTGATGTATAATAGCGATGTGTAAAGACTTATATATTGTAAACGTTAGTGTATAAATATTATTTAAAACATTCTGGCAAGAAAGAAGTTTTAGTCTGAAAGACTTTTTGAAATGTATTATTTCAATGTAGAAAGAATCGGCACTTGCTTTGAAAAGAATAGAAGTTAACAATGTACTACTAATGTATGTTTTCAAATGTGTAAAATTAACGGCATGTTAATATGTTCTTATATATAAGGTGAACTGTTATTTTAAATGTTAAGAAATACCGTGATATGGTAAAAGTGAAAGTAATGTTAAATTTTTTTTTATTCGTGTGACTGTAAAAAGACTAAATCATGGTGAATATGTGTTAAAGGTTGAATGATGTAGTTAGGCTCTCTGACGCTACACTTCAGAGTTAGCCACTTTCAGAATAGTACCTCAGGGTTTAGAGTTGAAATTAGGGTGTGTTACGAGGTCTTGGTATGTTGTATGTTGAATTTTAACACGTTAGTGTTTTGATTGTAGGAGGAAGTGTTGAACACGTAGACAGAAACACATTCGTGTTTGGTGTTCTTTTACAACACATGTCAGAGAGCACGGGGAGAGATAATTAAAATAGTCATGAATGAAATAAGAATGTTAAGAGAAATATAATTATACATGTTACTTGCCGTTTCATTGTGTAACATTTCATTAAACTAGTTTTCCTTCCAGATCTCTGGAAGGAACCAGATTTGAATAAAAGCTCCTGTTTAGATGCAGTAGAGATGAAAAAAATTGTGTGTCCTGGGAGCTGCTATTGTAAAAACAAATTTCTTTCTTTTAAATTTCTAGTTTCTAGCGAAAAATGTTTGTAAAAGATTGGCCTCGCGTTAGATTCTAGAGCTAAAAGTTTTCAACAAGGTCGTTTTAGACCCCAGTTTCAAACTAATTAACTCTGGCGGGAAGTATGTAAGGATCTTAAGTTTTACTAACGTTTATTTTATTTTAAATCTTTACTATCACTTCTTATTTTCTACTTCCGGCCAGAATTATAAGCGTTAACGTATTTATTCAAAGTTTGTCTGGCGAACGCCAAGTATTTAAGTTGTGGCTTTTTGCCAAGCGAGAGAGAGGAAGCAGTGAGTCGAAGCAGGCCGTTTACCTTAGAAGTTTTACTCAGTTGCTGGTTGCCTTCCAGGCTAGAGGTTTTAATCCTCTTGATAATTTTTAAACGTATTGTAGTGTTCACAGTTCTCTGTACTACATACGGCTTCCTGTTAATATAAGGCCAATCTTCCACGTTTATTATTTTAAAGTTAAATTAGAGTTTAGTTTTATTTTTATATTTTTTACGTTTAGACCACAAGTAGTGGGTCTGTGTATTCCGAAGTACGGAAGTTATTGTAAATAGAGAAAAATAAAGGGTTTTGTATACCCTTCTTGTGTATCCTGTCTACTTCCCACAGTGATTGAACATAGCTTTAGTAAGCTCTCTGTCCCGAGTCAGGTCCTTGCATGTTCCCGAAGAAAGTAAGACGGAACATTGAGCCTGATACTACAGTTTTGATAATTTGCGTGTTCGACCAAGATGTTTTTGCATACCAAATTTCGTCACGATCGCAAAGGTCCTTCTTGGTGCTTCGATATTTTTTACAAAAGAGTGTATTTTACGAAATTCGCATGCCAAACGTTGTCGGATTCCTTTATGAAATAACTCTATTTCTTGATCATTGTCCCTGATTTTAGCCCATTTTTCTTGTGTCTATTTTCCCATTAGTCTTTTCTGGTGACTAATATTATGAACGAATTTCAGTAAACGTTTAGAAAATACTGAGATGAAATACTTTTTAAAAGCTGATTACTCTGAAGCTTATGCAAGTATTAGTTTTTGAAAATCACTACTCGTAACAGTGTCATTTCTGAATAATATTTTTGTCCAAAGTCTGTTCGTGGATAATTATTTTATATGATAATCAGTTTTATAACTATGAAAAATAATATTCTCAAACAGTAGAAGAAAATAGTACAAAAAAAGGACAAATTACGGAGTACAAAGCATAAAATTGAAACAAATTTTTCCGGCAGCATAGGGAAAGGCGGGGAACTTTCATTTTCATAAAATTTTCTCTTAACCGCATTGTTTTATAAGCAGTTGTTATAAAACAAGCAAGAATTGAAATTTTTTTATTTAATAAGACAGGAAAAGAATATTAAAAATCTAAACAGAACAGTGAATAATTTAGAGAAACACTACAATAATTATTTCCAAACTAGGATTAAATAAATTTATAAAATTAAAAATTAAATATTTTTTTTTTAAAAATAAACCCTAGTTTCTTATTAAGTAGGGTTTATTTTTAATTAAAAAATAATTTTAAAAATTTAAATTTTAAAAATTTAAATCAAAAATTTATTTTAAAATAAGTAAAATTTAAAAATTTAAATTATTTTAAAAATTTAAATTTTTTTATTTAATTTTAAAAAATTAAATAAAAAAACTTACAGTTGGATTTTATAAATCAAACTCTAAAGAAACTCAAAATGCATTTTTTCTAATGCTATGAGCATTAGGACTGGATTAAAATATTTTTATTATGGCGAATCACTCCAGGGATATCTGCCTTCGTGGAAGACTTTCTAAGACAAATTGGCTCTATTCACAATACAGGTGGACTTAAACCCAAAAGCTCCCGTGAAGCTGTGCTAAGTTCTGAACTTAGATCAAACTGCCAGAATTCAGTGGTTTTATCTCTCGATCTTTGGTAGGCATGAATATTAGGAACATTATTTCCTTTCTTTATTTTATTTTATTAAACTTCATTGCAATTGTTAAAAATCTTATAACGTATCAATAAATTAAACATTAATGCCGATAATTTTATAAATATATCTTTCAAATAACTAACATGTTTGCAGTATTAGGACCTTTATTTATTACTATTATATTTTAGGTCCAAATTCCAATTTAGAAAACCTGAAAGTGGTGTTCATAGATGGAAGCCCTGTTAAAGTTCAAAACTTCACTTTCGTCCAAAACAAGATTGGAAAGCATATCTTCGTCGCTATTTTATACGGTAAATCAAATTAATTTCTTGAACTAGAAAAACTAAAAGGAAATCATCTTCTAGAAAATTCGAAGTGAAATTTAGAATGCAGATGTGTACTTTTGTGGTAAAGATTAGCAATTAAGAAAGTATTTTACAAAGTTAATGTGGACTATTGTGGAAAGGATAATTAATTGGAATGCATAAAGGTACAGTTGTGTCAGTTAAAATGTAAAACATAAAAATAAAACACAATTGTTGCTGATTCCATGGAAAGATCCCGACGAATCAAGAGGAATTGGAATCTTTCCATACAGCCAATCAATAAGTCATGAAAAGCGCGTTTCGTCATCTTCTAAATCCGACAAAAATCCGCTTAAATTTCACATTTCAACAAATCCAAATTTCACCTTTTGTTTTGGACCGCGAAATAATTCCTCGCCGTACGGACGAAGTATTGGAAAGAATAAAATTCAGAAGTAAACAAAGCAAGTACACAGAACAGTACTTAAAAATAAGAAAATACAATAAAAATAGAAAAAAGTGAAATACAAAGCAAGTGTAAAGCAAGAAAGAACCTAATTGGTCATAAATGCGGTTAAAAACATTTGCACTGTGCATCATGCATATGTTAATCTCTCTCTGTATATATATATACTATATGTGTGTGTGTGTATGCAGTGTATGTGCATATATGTACACTGCTGTCCATTAAAATTGCAACACCATGAAGGAAAGTAAATACAAAAAATATATTTATTTCACGTAAACAGCATGCCTTGGAAACAAAATGATTAAATTTGTGAGCATTTTGGAGGATTATAGGGGTGCGAAATTAGTAGAAACAGCCGCCACCTCTGGCAGCTGAAACTGCCCTTACCCCATTAGGCACGAAGTCAAACTGGGCTTAGATGACAGAAATGACACACTTTATCATCCGTATTAGCTGGAGAGGGTGGCGGGCCAGTCTCTCAGCAACCCTTGACCAGATGGTTTCAATGGATGACAGATCTGGAGACCATGCAGGCCAGGGCAGCTATCTAATAACCTACGCGTTGAGGAAGACCACAACACGTCTTACAACATTTGGTCTTGCATTATCTTGTTGGAACATGGCGTTTGGGGGCCTCGAATATAGGGCACAGTGACAGGATGTAAGACGTCAGAAATGTACACATCTGCGTTCAAATTACCGTCGATCTGAATTAGAGATATGCGTGTCGTGTATCCAATGGCTGCCCAAACCATTACACCAGTTGCATGCAATTTATATGCGAAAAATGGTTAGGTCTGTCATTAGTAAGTCTACATAACTTACTTTAGCAGATATATTTTGTCTTCTGATTTCTTCCTATTTCTTAGTCACAAGTTCTTTTCGCAACTCAACAAACTTAATTTTTTTTTCAATGTAAGTCTGATTCCGTGTTTTATAGTGTCTACTAAGATAGCGTCTTCTATTATGTGAAAAAGTACCTTCACCAGCTATGCAAAATGTTTTTCATCATGAATTTGCTGCAAATAGTAACTCATTTTCCCACTGTTCATTAAAGTCACGCCTACTATGACTTTCTTTGCTTCTTTTGGTCATTTTAATTTGCACTGTAATACATCCTTTGTCAGAAAAGTACTAGAACAAAGGACAAATCTTATGACACATATCACAATTCAGATTCAGTTCTTCTGATATCATACGCACTTCTAGATGGCGGTCTTCTTACAATAACTGCCTTACATACTCCTCCATTTTTGCATCGGATATGTGCTGTAGACGGACGACCAACCCTGGTATCGTCTTGCACTGAATCGCTGCCTTCGAAACCTTTTGTGCCACTCGAAAGCACGACTTTTTGAAAGTGCCTTCTCGCCTGCATATGCTTGCTTTGCTAATCTTTGTTCTTAATCATGCTCCATGGTTCACTAGGGGTTTTTCCAAACTTAACGCAGAACTTAATGTTCACTCTTTGCACACAATCAGTATCTACTGTGTCATCTTAACGAATACGACAACAACCCGAACAGTGTGTTGCTAAGCACAGCCCTACCACCTAGTGAGTTCGCGCGGAAATATGGCGAAGGACATGTCAAGTAAGAACACATTTCAGGTAACATAAAAACATTTGTTCTTTTTAGTATTGCAAACTCAGAAATAAAAATATTGTTCTGGGACTTTTCTGACAAAGGATGTATATAAAAGGAACTATAAAAAATATAGAAGTACAAAAACTCTAAAAATGGTTTGAAAAAGAGCAAATAGATAACAGTTACGTACATCGTATCACACAAAATAAAAAAAAGCACAAATGCACAAAACGCTCTTGCAAAAACTCTGCTTCAAAACTCGTCACCACTCAGAACTGACTGAAGTGCCACTTGTAGTCTACCAGCGCGCCACGATGTGGCCATCTCTGAATTATTCATTAATTAAAACAAAGTTATAACCATCTAGCTGGGAGAGAATCACATATGCTTAAAATTTAAAAACTAAGAGGGGGAAAGCAGTCTTAGACTGACGTAGGTTTTGAAAAAAAAATCTGAGGGCTCTGTTAGAAAGCCTCGCCAGTCTAATACTGCGTTTTTGCTTGTATTTTACAAATGGCAAACACTAGCGCTTAAGCCATTAGTTCACGGGCTCTCCAGTACTTTTTAACAATGTTCTCAAATCGAGAAAGGGCAGTATAATTATTTTAATGTTCAAAATTAGGTTGACTGGAGTCGCACAATATACAGTTTCGAGAAACCACCACTCCAGTTTTGAAGATGTGGTCTCGCAAACGGTTATGTTCGGTGAGACGTCTAAATAGAGCTACTGCTGTCTTTCTTGGAAAACTGGGAATGAGAAGTTGTCTCTTCTTTCAGAATTCTCCATCTCTTATCCATAGCGCGTTCAATCATATCCCGCTTAAGAGTCAGGTTAACAAACAGTTTAGTCGTATGAAAAGAAAGTGGCCGGTTAATTTAGCTGCATTATCAAAGTTAATTTCTTAGCTAATGTATCAGCTTTCTCATTGCTCATAATTCCACAGTGGGCTAGATTGTCACCACCGGATGACTGCTAGAATCCATTGGAATGAAATTCTGTATACCATTACCTTAAGCAAAAGCCTACAGTGCAAGATTCTTTGGGAACTTTTTAGATTATTCAGAACTTGAAGCGCACTTTTAGAATCTGACAATATGACTGCCTTTACGAAAGAGTGACTACGAATCGACAGTTGTTGAATAGCTACAACAATATGCTTCAATTTTCCCATCAAATGCAGTGAGGGCCCATTGGTAAGTGGAAAGAATTTCTGTACACTATTGCCTCAAGCAGAAGCGTACCGTTTAAGATTCTTTGGGAACTATTTTGATCATACAGAAGGATTTGAAACGGACTTTTGAAATCGGTACAAAAGAGTGGCTACGAATCGACATTTGTTGAATAACCACAACAATGGCTTCGATTTCCCCATCAAAGAATAAAGAATTTGAATTCATATTCTTTGGTAAGAGGGCCCATTTGTAGCTAGAAATTAAAAAGCTCGCTGTGGATACCCTGCTCCAGCACGGCGTGCGCTCTTAATTTTAAATTTAATCACTTGCAAAGAACTATAACGGTAGTTTTGCTTAATCTGGTATTTTTTTAACATGAATCAAATATTCATTTACATTATGCAATGGATGAGAGCGCTGCACGTAGAGAGGATAAAGAGGACGTGCACATGATTAACATAAATGAAATCAACGGTGGCATGCATAATAAACTTGCATGTGTTCATGTAATCAATGCCCAAGTAAAATAATGTACGTATGTATGTTTTGCAAATTTTATTTCAGGAGCCACTGAGTCTTTCGGATTTTTCTCCGGTGTTGACATGAATCTGCCACTGTATGCCGGCGAAGTCCAAGTGCCTGCTCTGGGAATGGATATTCGTGTTGTAGACGAAAAGGGTGAGTATTCTTTAGCCATTTTGGTTACGGAACTATCAATTGTTATTGGTGACGCAACACGCATATTTAAAAATTTAGCAGACATAATTTATGATAAACAGGTTGAGCTTCAGAATGAAAAAGCTAATTTCTAAGCGACGTCAAACTGAAAACAAACTACAGAACAATGCATGTATGGGAAATCATTATGTTACCTGAGAGATGTAGCAAATCAGTGAAATTTGATTCACAGAGTTCTAAAGCATAATCACTTGAAACTGTTTACATTAAAATAGGATAAGGCATCTCAGAGAAGAGGAAAATAAACAGCGCATTTCCTAAACCCCCCAAAATATGGGGAAGGTCAAGAGGAACGGGAAACGTAAGTTTCTTTTTATTAAATGAAGTAAGAATGCTTGGTATTCTGTGTGGGTTAAGCTTGGAGAATGTTCTAGAAAGTCGACACTGATATAATGCAACGTATAATTGAATAGATTCAACATTCTGCAGTTGAAAATTAGTTACTGTTCTTTTTTATAGATTGCTAATTTAGGAATTATGTGTAAGCGTTAAGCAGGTTAGTAGTATTTCATTCGAGCAGGATGAGCTCAGTTTTGACGCCGGTACCGTAATAAAATACCGACACAGAACTGACAGGTGAAACCGTAACACTAATTAATAGCACCAATGTAATATTCTACGATTTGGTCCTACAATATTATCTGGTGAATCCGTAACTAAATTGCATAACTAATAAAAATTTAAACCAACTAGGTTAGCAAAACCTAAAATAATCATAGAAATATAGTAAGTGCTAGCAAATTAAACATTTGTTTGTGATCGTATTTAAAGACATCGCCTTGTGAGTAATGTCTTCTCCGGGACCGTGCTCGGGTAAGGATCGGAAAAAAGATAAATGAAATACACAAATGAAAACATAATATAAATTTCAAATTAATACCAACTTTATTAAGTCTTCTCAGGTTAAAAGGAATTTTACGTTATTATTATTTATAAATTACCTAATTGATTTTTATATTTAACTTAATTCAAAATTTGGTACCAACTTACAAATATGACATATTCAGTACTATTCAACCCAAGCTAGAAGACAGACTATTACATATTTCCCTCTCTGGTTTTATATATGAATTTAACATTTGGACGAATAATTATTTCATAAAATATACATTATTAATTATTTGGAGCCTTCAGCCTAAATTTAAGTTTCTTGAAGGATTAAGGAGCATTCGGCTTACTTTGTTTTTGCAGCATGAAGAGTGTCATTATTCTTCTAGAAAAATATCGAAAGAGAGACACTGCAAGTACAGAAATTCGACAGATCGGTAGAATGTCATTCAATTGATAAAAGCAGGCAAGAAAGCAGTTACGTACAATTAAATCTGAGGAAGGCTGTTGCAGGATGAGGAGTGTCACTATCTTTCTAGAATATTATCCAAAGATAATCACTGCATGTACAAAAGTTAAAAAGTTGTAGAATGTCATTCAGATATCGAGTACTCGTTACGGGGGCTTGAAGTCTTGCAATAGAGGATCTGCTTTCAAATCCAATAACACATTAAACACCGAAAACAAAAAAGCTCCATTTTTAGCGAATAAAACTATATTCTTCTAAGCATCTCTTACCCTCTCGGAGGAGGACACATGTGTGACCATCTTTACCTAAATAAAACCACTGTTGATCAGAGAAAACAACATCTTGCCATTCAATTTCCATTGCACGATATTGCATGGACTATTGTTCTGTTGTACAAAGTTGCTGAATTGGAAAAAACAGCTTGACAAGCAGTTGAAAATTACGTAATTGAAAGTATAATAAATGTTGACATATTGTGACATCTGTCAAAACATGCTGCTGAAATGGCAATTCTTTATCGACATTTGCTGCGTACGAAATCAGAAACCTTAGCTTCGTATTCGACGATCCTCTTTGAACTAATTACTGCATATTCTGTCTGTTATACTCACGTCCTTAGTAAAAAACTGGAAAGGAACATTGCAGTATCTGATGTCAGCACTTTTTCAAAGGCATTGATACTTTTATAGGGTTGTCCTACAGTACATAAACGCATTCTTTTCAGATGCTAAATGAGATCAGAATGTCACCAAGGTGGTATTGTGGTTAGGAGAGCGTACTACTGTGCCGAAGGGCCCGGGTCTGAATCCCGGAGAAGATATGGATTTTGTAAATGTATAGTGTCGGTGCGGCATGGCGGCACTCTAAATACGCGGCGAGCCGAAAGTTCTCTCGCGTGGATTGGTGGAAGGGAGGAGGGGTTGGAGACCTCCAGATCTCCCGGGGTGCTTCCCCTCAAAATTGGGAGTGGAAAATAGAAGTCCAACCTCTCTTCGGAGTAGGCTCTGGCAACCGTTGTTCGATGCAATATGGACAAGACAACAATAACAACAAAATGAGATCAGAAATTCCTATCCAGCACGGCCCATTAGAAAAAATAAAAGCTAATTTACATATGGTTACATTTTGAGCTCTAATTTACATAATTTCTGAATTTACTGATCAATGAGTGTAGAATGCGAATAATATTTTTTGTAATGCCTACTTTACACATATTGAAAAAATAGAAGTTATAGCTACATTCTTTCTCGTTCGTTTTCGTACATTTGTTCATTCTTACATTCGTATAATCTTTCTCGTACAGTCATTCTGGTTTTTAAGAACTCTTATGTATAAGTATTTGATTAAAACGCGTAGAATCTTGACTCTGTGGCGTAGTTTCAAACTTCTACACGAACAGCCGACATAAGAGGATAACAAAAAACTGGATCAGCTCGAAACAGCACATTCATGGCTAAGTACTCGAGAAATGTCAGCAGACATATTTGTCACATAGTTTGTACCCGACACGATCATGAGCATCAGAATCTAGCTCTTGAGCTTCTAAGAAATATCAATCATAGAATGAGATATTAGAGTAATAAAAAATTGATCATAGAATGCACCTGTGGTCATAGAATGAAACTCTGCACAATGTGTGGAGTTATACCACTTCGTTATTACTCAGTTTTTATTTATAGAATCCTCAGACTGGAAACAAAGAATATTACCTATGGACTCCGCCAACTGTTAGCATGGTCGTAAAAAAGCCGGCTACCATAGACTTTTGCCCCAGTTAAGAAGGCATATATGTTTATAAATGCCTAAAGGGTTTGTTGCATGAGGGCAATTAAAGTACTATCGTAATCTCTTTAAAAATTGTTTCTAGGGAAGAGAGTTAGGAAACTTTTAAATCCATTTCCTGAGGCTCTTTTTTAACCCTTCAACGCACACGTATCACTGCGCTACGTTGGTACACGCGCGGGACAAATTTTACCCCAGTGTTTCTTTTTCAGAGTTCATCCCCCTAACGTATAAATAAATGCATTTTCTTTGTTTAAAATGAATGTATAAAAATGACTAATAGCTTTGTGAATTCTGTTAATTCCTTCTTCCAGTTTTAATTCGAGAGAATCTTACTTTAAGTTATACAAACATTTCCATACTAGTTACCTAAAGTAAGCGATAAAATTTGAAATTTATGCAAAATTACTGACTTATATAAGATACATATATGATTTCTTATATTAGAAAAATCAGTTTTCATATGTACATATTTTTTAAACATAAGTGTTTATTATAAAGATTGGTTTGATAAAGCACTAGAAGCATATGAAAAGGCTTCATTCTTACTAGCTTTTTTCCTTAAAACTCAATATAATGTCCTACAATTATTCATATCAAAGAATAGATTCTAAATACGAATATTACAAAATATAAATAACACATAGGTTTTCCGTCCCCCCACCTGAGTTTATTATTCAAATAATCTTGTTTTGAACAATCCTCACATAATGTGACAACATATTTTTACAAACAATTTCTTAGGGTGAAGGTATGCTGCATATTCTATTCCTGCCAACCTTTTTACTCCAGTTTTGAGTTTTTCGAGAGAGATAGAATTACAACCCTTTTCAGGGCATGTTCTTTTACAAGCTCTAATGTTAAATCCTTTGAGAAAAGCTCTTCGGTTGATATTCACTTGGTCCTTATTTGATCGATGAATAATAAAAGTATTTATACCTGCAATGGTCATTAGTCCGTGAAATACCGTTAGAGGCCAGCGGCGGCATTTTCTTGGAACAGACTAAGTTCCACATAATTCATCAACAGTATAAACATCACCTTTTGTAGAGTTGCAAAAAGTTATCATTTCGAGCTTGAGCTGCTCTTTAGACAATGGAGCGATTCTGATTATCCTCATGCATGGGATGATAGAACCAATTTACTCTTTTTTGGAACATCTGAAGTAAGAGTTAACTCTTTACCTCTAAAGTGAAAACACGAAGAATGCAGAAGTCTGTTCTGTTTGGCAGAAATTCTTCTGGAATTTCACTCTTATCTTTTTGAAGTGTCCCAAAACATGTCAATTTGGTGCTTTTTCAATAATTTATTGGCCAAAGGAATGCTCATGTACCAATTGTCCATAAGTTATATTTCTTTCAATGCCACTTATGAGTGCAATAAGTCTTTGCACAACATCCAATGCCACATTTGATTGTCTATATAGTCCAACAGGCTGCTGACCTGCATAAATTTCTGGGTTGTATGCGTAAAATGTATGAGAATCGCACAAAGCAAATGCATTTATTCCATATCTTGGGAGCTTAATTTTATATATTGTCTGAATTGACACCTTTCTCGAAATTGTTCTAATTTTTCGTCTATAGTACAATATTCAGATAAAGAATATATTTTTCGTATGTTTTTGATAAATATTTCAAAAACACTTTTAATAAGTGCAAGTCCAGCCGTCATCTTTATGTCATCAAACCTAATAAACCAACAGGAAGTGGAATCGGTTGATAGACATTGTTATTTGAAAAACTGTTATTCTGCTTCCGTCAGCTGACCACAAATCTTTGCTTTGAGAAGTGGTGCTTTCAGCACTCCAGCGCAAATATGTTAGGAAAAATAACGCCTTCAATTCAGCTACGTTTGTCTCTTGTGCATCACGTTCTCTAGAGAAGTTATTGATGAAATAATCTATTATCTTGTTTCTTATTGATGAAATGTAAATGCTTGTTGATTTCACCAAATCTTCCATTATTTATTTATCAAAAATCTGCAATAAACACTCAGTTGGATTTTTCAAATTTCTAAAGCTTTTCTTGACACCAGGTAAATATGTCACTATATTGTGCAGCCGTGTCCAAATGTTTTCGAGGGTAATTATTTACTTAATTGTTCCATCTTTTCAAACATAAAAATCATCTGATGTCAAAGAAGATATGCTCCCTAAATCATGTGAATCATAATATTACAGGTCAGAATCAGTTTCGGGAGCACTTTCAGAAATATTAACGCACTCAGAATCGGAATCTTCAATTTTGCTATCAGTTTCAACACTAGCGAGAAGAACCCGCAGTCGTTACTATTCTCGCTCATACGCACTCATCTCTATGAATGTCTCCCTAGAAGTGAAACGTTACTAAACGCGCGGGGTAGCTACAATCCCATTGCACATTCCTTTCCCGAAAACACAAAATCCCAAGGACACGAGAAAAATTCCTCTGGACGACGCCTTCCTAACCTTGACCTTGAAAGGTACATGAAGTACTAGAAAGGTCACGTACGACCTTCCCTTATTTTCTAAGAAAATACGATACGTGGGGTGGATTTTACCCCAGCGCGTGTGCTGACGGGTTAAGAGATAAAGAGCTAAAATACTGCGTATTCTCTATAGAAGTTGGTGTTAGGAGAAGAGTGGTAAAAGTTATATTCTCTATAGAAGTTGGTGTTAGGGAAGACTGGTGGGAGTTCTTTGGATACGTTCCCTGGTGATTTTCCTTCTAGAAAATCTCTGGGATTTTTCTTTCTAGATGTTCCATGTGAACCTTTCCTCTGAAAGAGAAGGAACTGGGAAAAGTCGTGCTATAAACTGTATGGCATCCAAGCAGCTGGCCAATGGTAGGCAATCACTACCTCTTCTGTATAGGCTCGTCTAAGAGTTCCGTGTCAAATCAAAAGAAGTATGAACAACAAAAATACATACAGGCTTTCTCAGAAAAGGACCTCGATTAAATAACTAAAGTTATCTGCTTCTTGTGATATATTTAGTGTGATGTTGAAAGTGATAATGCCTTACTTATGGAATTGTTTCTAGCAAATGTCATAACTATCACATGACAGCTAACAAACTAAGCAAATTTAGTCTCTTATTTTGGTACTCTACTATAAATGTACTCTACAATGTAGTATTTATAACCTACTTCATGCCAGTGCCAGTTTACAAGCATTAACGCTAAGCTGTTAAAATTTCCTTATTTAGAATAAAACGTCTTACTTTATCCGGTAAATTCCGAAGGACTCACGCCTATGTCCATAAATTACTGCATAAACATAAAGAATAGTCACCGAACTACTGAACAATAATTTTTTATAATCCCATTAAATTCCAATAAAAACTGAGCACTTGCTGATCGGATAATGAAACTTAGTCGTCGAACATTATTATAATCTTAAAAAGTAAGAATAAAAGCAATTTTCGTTAAAATAATTTAATACATCTCAGTTTCATTTTTATAAATTAACAAATTAATTAACTTTTAATCAATTTATTGGCAAACAGTTTACGAATAAAAACGTAACATTGATTTCGACTGTTTGATAACGTAATATTAAAAATTAGCTGTGCAATGAAAATAACTCCTATATAGTAATATCAAGTCCAAAATGCAATTTTTTAAACATAAGCTAAGTATTTTACTAAATCCTTAGTTTTAAATGCTTTCAAGGATTTCATTTAAATATTTCAACATTTATTAAAATGCTGAATATAGTGTTACGAAATGTAAAGGCGCGGTGAGATGGCTTCCCCGCAAAGTAGTTTTAGGGTTGCCATAAAATGGTAAGGGACGGCAAAGTTGCCACATTTGGAAAAAAATCGCCTGTTTGGCTACAAAATTGGCGATATACCATCGAATGGAGAACCTTCTGGAACGAATTCTTACCGTTTAGCCAAGAATGTTCTCGAATACAAGCCAAAAGCTATAAAATCCTTGCTGGTCCGCAGTCAGTTAGTGTGTGTGCCTCGTATAGCGAGCTGATAGTTAGTCATTGAGCGAGTGTCTCGAAGTCTAGCGCCGAGGTGGTCGTCGAGTGCATCGAGAGAGTCTTTTAGTGCATCGCGAATTAGTGCATCGTCGAGTTTTGTCTTAGACTGTGCTGAGTCGAGAGCTATACTCTTGTGTATCGTCGAGTGCATCAGAGTCTAGAGAGTACATGGTTTTCCGAGAACAACCAAGCGTAGTTGGGAGCTGTACTCGGGTGCTTTGCAGTGAAGCTGTCTCCACCGTTATTGCCTGACAGTGTGAAGGCTGTGTCGCTGATTGTGTCAGCGTGTTTATAACAGTTCGACTTTCGATACTTCATCAAGTGTCGTCGTTATTCACTCCAAATCTACAAACACCGTACAAACGTGAAGGAAGAAAATAACGCAACATCTGGTGTCAGAAAGAAAAACGTAACAATATGAACAAACTTTAAATTAAAGTATTTATAACTATTTCAATATTCAAGAAATATCTTAATTCAACATAGAAAAGAAAGCATCAAATATTATCGATGACCCTGAACTGAAAACAGACCATCCGTTTTATTATTTCTCACTCTATACAGAATAAGCCGTCAACCAATTATAAGCACTCGATATTTATTCACACCAGAAGAAAATGGCAATTAAATTTCTGCTCTTTGCAATTGTTTAATTTTTCTCTGTATTTTAAACGTGGCTAGAAGCATAAGACTACTTGTGCATTAGCATTATTTCTTTAAAATTTCGAGCACAAAACTTAAATAATTTCTATGTCAAATGTTAATCTTTTTTGTGTGTGTTCTGAAATGGAATCAAACATTTATTCTCAGGTCGATCTTTAATTGGTGAGAAGGGTGAAATAATATTTGCAGCTCCATGTCCAAGTTTTCCTATTTACTTTTGGAAGGACGTCGATCACACCATCATGAAGGAAACTTATCTCTCTAAATATCCAGGTAAATTCTCTTCCATATCTCAATGTAAAACGCAGCATCTCATTTGAGTTGAGAGGGTTCTGTTTAAGAAGCAATGCTACTTAAGTACTTTCCCGTCAACCATTCTCGACAAATTAAAACTGTCGCCAAATAGTGCGATTTAGCGCCAATAATGATGGGCAAACATGATTCAATAACATACTCATAGGATATGTAAATCTAATCATAAAATATTCATAAATAATAAGCATAAATAATTCTAAACCATAAAATTCAGTTCAACAGCAATATTGCAAAATAGTTGTAAATTGAGCATATCTTTAGAATTTCCGATACAGAGACTCACGCGCTGGAGATAAAAATGTTTTTTTCTGTACAATGTTTCCATGGCTCGCTTTGAAATCCTTGAGTTTTGTTATTCAAAAATTCATTAAAGTTTTACCAAATAGGAAATCGATCATAAAACGAATTCCAAACTTTAATTTGATCTTCCACATGCCCATATTCGTAGGAGAATTACGTCATTCAAAATCAGATGGCTCTAGGTACCATTGTTTTATCACAATACGAGAAATAGACATACATTTATGCAGATTGTTCATTATTTAATTCCTTCAAATATAATGTAGGAATCTAACATTTTGTGGCAATAGTTTGAAAAGTGAAATGGACATTTATAGTGATTCGACGCAAAATCGCAAAACGGAAACAATAGTCCTTTAGAGACAAAACCCCTTTGGACTAAAAACTGAAACGTTGTGAGGTTCGCAAACAATGCGCAATAAAAGACGCTGCGAAAACCTGAGATACCACAGGGATTCAAATTTAAACGACTTTATGCATTCACCAAGTTTATAAAGAAATTCGAAATATTATTGCTATTTTAAAGAATTTTAACCACTGAGATGGTTCTCTGCAATTTTAATAATTTGTTTGTCAGATAATCTGAAAACTTGAGTTCATATTTACTAACCATTTTAAATTTGCTGTATCTATAATTTGTATCTGTTAATTATCAAATTAATTAAAGAGTGGTTCGTGATTATGTAGCTAAATAAAAAAAAAGACCTGCTTCTTTGACTTCCCACCAAAATATTTGCTCGAATTTGGCGGGATCTCCGCCAGTTTTCTGAGTTGACAGGAAAAACCATTTTATTTTCGAACTATGTTAATTTTCTATTTTAAATGCGACTGAGCTTTACTTTTATAATTTTTTACTCAAAGAAGTCAACAGTGGGACAGAATTGCATTTAGCGTTGCTTTATATAACAGGAGAGGGCATAAATATGTCTCACTCTACATAGAGTATTTATTACGTAGTAGTTAGTGCATTTACATTAGTGAATATATATGAATGCATGAATTAATATACAGGTATTCGGTATATTAATTCAAATTTTATATTAAGCCAAATTTCCACTAGCACCAGTTAATACTCATTTAACGCGTTAAGCGTCAATTGTTTTGAATAATTTTTCGTTCAGCTCGCAATAGCCGATATGTTGGCCAGAGATCTGTATAGAGTTTGACAGAAGATTGGAATTTTTAAAATTTTATATCGGCTAATGATGACAGATGCAGTCTAATCACGTAACGAATAGTGCCAGTCATCGGTTAACGACGTCTTAATAAAAGCAGTCATACAGGACAGCCTCGCTATATTTGTCATTGTACTTAAAAATTGTACTGTTTATAGTACTTCAGAAAATAACAGTAGTACTTAAAATTATAATAATAATTAAAGACTATAGTATTAAAAAATAATAACCTGTTTATAGCACTTAGAAATACTAGTTTATATTTTATCATACTACACGGTTTTTCAGTTTATTTTTGGAACAGAGGGAGATAATTTATGAAGTACAAATTAAAAAGAATATATTTAATTTATAAAATGTGTCCGTGTATTTTTAATGGGAATGCCTCTTTGTGTATTGACTAAGTTTTTATATGTTTCTAACATAAAACGTCTCTAAAGATGTAATTCGATCTATTATGATGCGTTCGAAACATAATTATTTTTGGCAGACATTTTATAAACGGTAGGTGTTAAGATCTTTATTTTTTCGTTAATAATAATATTAGTTTATTGTTCACAGTTGAAGTAAATCAACCCTTTCGATACAAATTTTTAACTATTGCAGAATCTTAATCGCAGGACACCAGAGCCACATTTTGCTACATGCATCATATGCGTGAGAGGCAAATATAATTGCTGCAACACATACCTTGAAAGATATCCAAAGCAGAGCATCGCAGCAAAATGAATACCTTCGTTTTTCATGTTATTGATGGAAATCCGGCTTTCATATTTAGGAGTTTTTACGATAGGTGTGGTGTAGTGGTGTGGTGTATTTAATTATGGCAAAGCGCACTAGGGCTATCTGCCTAAGGGGGAGGGATGCCTTTCGTGGAGGACTTTCTAAGGGAAACTGGCTCGTATACACGTTACACATGGGGAAAATCACGAAAACGCCCAGCCAGCCCGTTCGCGGGATTCGAACCTCGGACCGAACTACCAGTGGTCAGCGTCTTTACCGCTCGGCCGTTGGTGGGCTTTACGATAGGTGACTGATTCATCATGTGCGGCGATAATGGTCACTCTCAATTTATAAATTCTCCACTACACATTGGCATAAATTTTCCATTCAAAATGGCCAGTAATAAATTACTGAGAGACTGAAATATGGAGAACTTCGTAGTTTTGTTGGCAACTAATTACTTTTAAGACAGGATTATTCTAGGGAATTATGGCTGTCAAGTTTTTTATTTAAATCTCTCCGAACCATTCCTTATATTAAATTTTAACTAAAAGTATATATGTCGGTAAATCCTACACAAATAACAACCAGAAAAATCGCTGATGTAAATAATGTACAACAATTTCCAGTTCACTGCGTCATCTGCAAATATGCAGAGTGGGGATGCCTGGCACCAACAAGAAGAATGGGACCACATCCAGCATCTGCTACACATATAAACTGGACCTCCACCATTTTATCATATGTGTAATGATTTCAAAATGCGTAGATGAAAACAGTGGAACCCTCAACAGCTTTCGGTATTGCGTAAATGGCTGAGAAGACCATAGTGGCTGTAAATGGCAGAGTGGGAAGCATGATGACGCAATTTAGCACAACGTATCTTGAAAAAATCACAATCTTTATTTTTTTATGTATATCAAATCGTCCTTTTTTCAGACAAGATGCTTCCTAATTATATTCGAATACAGAAGTTGCATTTTGAAGTACGACGTTATCTTCAGCAAGTAAGCAGCAGCATACATAAAAACGAGTTTTGCCGGCAGGACAGCTTATGCGAAAAAGGGAAAGAGTTATAGTACTTTCAGAGGAAGAAGGTTAGGAGTGGGAAAAGTTTCAGTTCAGAGTTTTGGTTTACAATTAATTTGATTGGACAAGAGGCATCTGCAATAAAACGTTACGTAAGATAGAAAAATCTGGAACCTGTGAGAAGAGATGAATTTAGGGGCAGACCACCAAATTTAGAATGTTAATTTTGAGGTCGCCAATTATTATTATTATTATTTTTTTTTTGAAAGAGCTTTCATATTTTGTTATATCTTACATATTTGTAAAATATAAAAAAAAAAAATACGACGGCTTTGCTCTATGCGAACTAGCAACCTTTAATTAACTTTCTGCAATTCAGGATCTTGCCCTAGACCAGTACTTTCCAGAACATTCGAGCTTATTATGTAACCGCTTCTATAAATAGAGAACTCGCGCCATTTTGCGTCAGAAGCTGCTCTCTCCCTCTGCTATTAAGATCTATGCTGCTGCGTTTCTCATCTTTCTTCCCTTTGTTAGAATAGTTATGACGTCAAAAGCCTAGATTTCATCGTATTTAGTTTGAAACACTATTTGATATGTAATTAGGAGAATTTCATTTAAAAGAAAGATTATCTGCCATTGGAATTTAGTAAAGATGTGCAATTAAAATCAAAATCCTTCTGCGTCGTCATTCTGCTGCCTTAACACTCAGCAATGCACGGACTTTGATGCCAAGCTTCGTCATTCATGTTCACGACTGCTAAAATATCACATATATACTGTAACAATTTCTTTTGTGACAATATACAATAATTTTGTGACAATAAATCATTTGCTTTCTGGATGAAACAGGTAACTCAGAGAATTCTTAAAATGAAATATCTTGTATTTTGATATATGGCAATAACATTATTAATAGAATGTCTATTGTTTGAATCTATCGATCCCATGAAGCAATTCATAACTATTCATACCACAATATAAAGTTTATCTAGTGTTTATATAAAATAATTCATTTGCAGAATTTTCCTCGGATTTTCTAAATGTATGCGCTCGTTGGCATTACCATTTACCATTTATAATTATTAAATATATAGCAAAATGTTTTAACTATTATCAGACAGATTATACTCCCTGTTTCATGGCAGTTCTTGTTTCCCATGTAATAGATAGTTAGATTAGGCTATTTGAACATGTACATTAAGCTACATTAAGTACATTAAGGCTATATGTCTAAGAGAAAAGATGAAAGGAGGAATGACTCATATATCACATTACATTTAAGGGGACAAACCACAGAAACCAACTATGCAGCAAGCCCATTCGTCTGTGTCTGGCAAAATAACATAGAAAGTCTGGCCAAAATAACATGGAATATGAATATAGTACGATAGCATTAGTAGGTAAACTTCGGGCATACTACGACATTAAGTTGCCAATTCAACCGCTGAACCAGGCTCATAGGTTCAACCCCTGCCCTCGAACCTTGGAGCCATGGAGGTAGGAAGCAAGATGGAATAGCCCTAAACAGGTTTCTCCCGTACCCTGCTCTGAAGCACTGGCGATCCCTACGTGGTGACCAAAACATTAGGTTATTTACCATTCCAATTAAGTTCAATGGGTTTTGACACGATCAGATGTAAATATTTTTCAATTACGTCGTAAATATACATATAAATGTATATATTTTCTTTTTCTACAACACTTCTAGTCCTAAGTATATGAAAATAACATATTTTTAAACAACATTTAATTCTGAACCGAATTAAATGCTATACTTTTCGCAGAACAGTTTTCTCAGAATGGTTTAATTTGAATGAAATATTTTCACAAGTTTTCTTTAATTACATTAGAAAAAAATTTAAGGTAATTCGATTTTATTCGGTTAAGGTACAAAAATTAAGATCAAAGTTTATTGTATTATTAATATTAAAAATATGCATTATTTCTTTTCTATTTATATAGCTTCTTCCTAAAATACTTTCTTAAATATGATATGATTTTTTGGCTTCTGAGGCATCTTTTAAATCAAAAAATATAAGTTAATTTATAATTAATGCTCTATTCAGTTCATTTTAAATTAGAGAATTATTAGAAATTAGCGAAATACTTTAAATAGTACTTAACTTTCTCTGAACATTTCTGAAAGGGAATAAAATAAGGATTTTTTTTAAGTATCATTTGAAACTTGTAACTGAGTTATAAAAAATAAGGAGAATAATTCTTTTAATTATACTTATCAGAATTTTTTTACTATTAATTTCAATAATGCATATTCCAAAACTCTTTATTACTTTCTTAAGTGCGCGTCTCATAGCATTTGCTTTACAATGCCTTTTAACAGATTGCTTTCCAGTACGAACAATTCTTGCTTAAATAGTTTTATAACGTATTTGTCAACAGGATTTCAATTTATGTTTACAATTCAATATTAAGGTTGCTATATATTTAGATAACATTTATAATCATTATAAATTAGATACATTTAATAATTAGATTTCTTCACATGTGTTTATAAATGAATAAATTCTTCATTTCAAATACATTTATAAATAATTTAATGAATATTTATGTATTTTGTTAAAGGCAGATACATGCTTTTTGCAAGCACATACATAAATACCCATACATATTTCATATTTTTCATTTCCGGCATGTGCAAATCTTTAATTTCTGTGCAGTCACTATATTTTATTTTTAATTAACCCAAATAAGTAAGACGTGTAAGCCCAAAGGGATTATTTTTCAGATATATAAAATTAAAATGATGAGTTTAAAATGAGCAGCAGTAAACCCTCTCCTCTAAAAAATTTTAAAAGGTACATGTTACAATAATATGGATGTGAAAAAAATTTTATTTTATTTAAAACATTTTGGCGTTTTTGAAACATAAAATAAAAGTAGCGAATACTCTACCAAGGGTATCGAAAGACGTATACAATTTTGAAGGTACCGTAAGGTATTTTTCATTCTTTAAGCATAACATTTTTGTAGTTCAACAGCTTAGAATTTTATAAAACAAATTCATGATCAAAATCGCTGTTGTTAGTTATCGAAAAATAACCAAGATGTGATTTTTGCGTTAATGTCACTAAACTATACAAATTGCTATTATCCATCACACTATGAATGTTTCTTTCATGCGAATGTGTCCCTTTTTCGATTTGTATGGAACTGTCGTGTGTCGAAATACTATCAGAACACTGTCAAGCGAGCTTCTGAATGTAAACAAAGAACACCCCATCTGGTGACCGAAGCTTCGAAGCAGTGCTTTACGTCTGGTGCCGGTTGGCCACTCCTTCCTTTCTTACCTCCATGCTTGGAGCGGATTGATGCCATCGCCATAAGGCGACGCTGGTTCACCTGGCAGTCATGTGGGCTGCCTGTCGCCCAAGGACGTTACCCAGCAAAACCAGTGTGCCACCCCGAAGCAAGTACCCGACGCGCCACCCGGGCTTACTAGAACGTTAAGCTCTAGGACCTGCCAGACCCACGAGCCGACCGATAAATGATCTTTCCGGGGCTTTTACAGCCACTAGATTCCTTATTTGTATACCCATGTGGCTGAGACTGCTAGGTACAAATACTAGCCAGTAGCTAAGAAAATCATAAATCATTCTCATAAATGCTGTATTTTAAAATGTGCTTGGAGCTTAAATATTTCCTAGCATAGTTACAAATCCTGCGCAGTCCCAATTTACCTAAAGTAATATGCTGGGATCGTCCGATACCATGTGATATAAGCATAATCGAGTCCCTTCTCCTAACAGACTATACTATAATAAGCTTTGTTGTTTCTTTTAGGTGTCTGGTGTCAACACGATGAAGGCTTGATCAATCCGGATACAAAGGGTCTCATTGTACTTGGAAGAAGGTAACTCATATGCTTCTAATAATCATAATTTCAATCTGTGTTTACTTTGCATGAAAATAAAACGTTACCTAAAAGTCTATGTTCCTTTACTAAAATACAGATTTATTTATTTATTCATTATTTTGTATGCCGAAATAGTATTCGTTTCTTTCACTCAGAGCTGTCCCTTCACCTCGAGATCTGTTAAAATAATCCTTTGTAATTTTGTACAAAATGTAAGGATAAGTATTGATTGAAGGGGCTTTAAAAGTGTTGCTTAAGTTTTACAAAATTCAGAATTCATTGCGCAGTCTGAGAGAGGGTCTCAAAAGACGTTTTGCAATATTTTCCTTCTGATGCACGAAGACGTGCTGTGGACCAAATTTAAAAGGCACTTAGCTGGAACATTATCATCTTTTTAGATATGTTTTATCATAATAATAAAATAAAATGCTCTGGAAAAAGAGATGTCTTTACGTTGTGGTAGATCTCTTGTAACAAAAGGATAATATAATAACAGAAGAAATAACTAAAGAAATTATTTTTTTCTTTTCAACAAGTTCAATATCAGAAAAATACTAAAACCACGAGACAGTAGAAACGAAAACCAGACTGGTATTTAATTGTTCCAATAACTCGACCTGTAAACCGAAGGCATCCGAGTCTCATCGGTCAGAATATGGAAGGAAGTGAAAGAAATATACTTTTATTGATTGCACAAATATATATATCCGTACATTATATAACCTGTCTTATTTTTCTCAAAAAGAAGTAATTCAAAAGAGCTCAGACAAAAGTATTTTGAGTAATTTCTTTTAATGTTACTTCTGTATCCTCATTGATTTGTTATGAGATGCTATGACTAAGATAATCTGAGTAAGATATTATGATACGTTGGAGAAGATAACGTAATATTAGACGTTGGATAAATTTTGCAATTCCATACGGAAACAAACGCAAAGTATTTTCTCAAAACATTAGCGCATATTGAAAATAAAAGTATCAGGGCATATTATATTAGGGGCATTTTGTAATAATAACTTTAAAACAATACGTTCTTGTTCATAGGCGTCTCATGAACTACAAAGATCGAAAACCTATTAGATCTTCAGACGTTAGAAGGATTAATAAATGTATGTTATTTTGATTAAAAAAGAATATTTTTACACGATTTTTAAATATATGAATAGTGTGTTGCCAGAAAGTAATTGCAAAAATAAAACATAAATTTTTTGTAAGTGATATATTTGCATTTTGAAATGTATGTTAATCTATTCTTAAAAATATATATATATTTAAGTATAGTTTCTCGTCTTTTTTCTGACTTCCTTTCATTTTTTTTCCTTTCTACAACTTAAAATTCTTTCATTTTCAGTATTTCATATTCGTATAAATCTATTACAAGAATTGTTTCGAAGATTGCTATTTTTATTTCAGAGTTTGAACGTGTTGCTGTATTTAATACAAGCTGAAAATTAAAATTCTCTATGTTAAATGGTTTTGCTAAGAGCCATTTGAAAAATATCCAAAAAAAAAAAAAAAAAAAAAAAAAAAAAAAAAGTGAATTTTTTGTAATTTCAGGGACTAATATGAATTACATTCATGTTGGCAGATAGATCATTTTTACAGCTATAATTTCGTGCAAAGATCATTTAAATTTCAAATCCAGAGTAGTTGAAAAAAAAAAAAAAAAAAAAAAAAAAAAAAAAACATATTGTGACTTTATTTCTTGAAGGTAGGAAGTAAGAGTAGAGGCCCTAACAGGTTTTCCTCATTCACTGCTTTGAAGCAGTGGCGATCCCTTCATGGAAACCAAAACATTCAGTGACTAACCATTAAGATCAATGGGTTTTGACATGATCGGATCTAAACATTTTATAATTACGTCCTGAATATACTTATAAATGTATTTATTTTCTTTTTCTGCAATATTTCAGACTCCTAAGTAGGTGAAACGAATGCATTTTTTAGCATTTTATGCTGAACGAAATTCAATGCTATACATTTTCCAGAACAGTTTGCTCAAAATAATTTAATTTTAATGAAATATTTCTACAAGCTTTCATTAATTACATTAGAAAAAAATTAAGGTAATTCGATTTTATTCGGTTAAGGATTGCAAAAATTAAGATCAAAGTTTGTTGTATTATTAATATTAAAATTACTCATTATTTCTTTCCTATTTACAGAGCTTCTTCCTAAAGTACTTTCTGAAATATGATTTTTTAGCTTCTGAGGCATCTTTTAAATCGAAAATCTGAGTAAATTTATAATTAATGCTCTGTTCGGTTCATTTCAAATTAGAGCACCTTTTATTTTAATAGCGAAATATGTTAAATATTGGTGCTGATTTCTATGTACTTAACATTTTATAGATATTTTTTAAAGGGAAAAAGGATTCTTTTTTTAATATTATTTAAAATTTGTAACTGAGTTATTATAAAATGTAAGGAAATAATTCTTTTAATGCTTAACAGATTTTGTTACCCTTCATTTCAACAATACACATTCTAAAAACTCTTCTTTGCTACTTCCTTAAGTATGCGCCTCATAGAAATTGCTTTAAAGTACCTTTTAACAGATTGCTTTCCAGTACAAACAATTCTTGCTTAAATAGTATTATAAACGTATTTGTCAACAGAATTTCAATTTATGTTTACAATTAAATGTTAAGTTTATTATATATTTAGATAATATTCATAATCATTATAAATTTAGGTATATTTAATAATTAGATTTCTTCACAGTTGTTTATGAATAAATAAAACCTTCATTTCAAATGCATTCATAAATAATTTAATAAATATTTACGTCATTTGTTAAAGACAGATACATGCTTTTTTCAAACATATGCATAAATACCCATACATATTTCATATTTTTTATTTCCGGCATGTGCAAATCTTTAATTTCCGTGCATTCACTGTCATTTTCGAGTAAAGTAATATGCAATAATTTATCATATACCAGAATTTTTTACATAAGAAATATGTGTAAATATAACCTGAATGAAAATTACATTGAACGAAAAGTTAACCAGACCTATATGCCTAATTGCCTAATTACAAGTATTTTAACATGCATAATTTCATATTTACAACTAGCCATCAATTTCAAACTTTCGACTTAAAACTCGTTTTAGGATACATTCATTATCAAGTTCAAATTTTCTAGTAAATAGATTTTGGCAGAGCATTCAATAGCTCTTTTAGCGATTTTACCCAGTTTAAGAGTTCTCTGATAATATAATAAATAATAACTACTAATTTCACACTTAAACATTAACCTCACTGTCATCAGATCGCAGCCTTGATTGCCTTACTCTGCATAACATTGCTTCATTTTTTAAAACAGTTAAAACAACTAATTAATCTAAATTCACAAACACCTGAAATTTGCATACTATGTGATAGTTCAGAAGGAAACAATATTCAAATTATATTGATATACCTATTAATAACTTTGCTGATGCTTTTTTCATGTCTTGAAACTTTTTCAAAAATAGCAGATCGCTATTCAAGTATATGTATTTAATAACAAAGATTTTTCATTCATGATTTTGTATTACATTTAGTCATTAATTAAACATTTTGCTAAATAAAATTTTAAGAAAGAGAGACAGTACTTTATTTTTAAAATTTTTTAGTTAACCCAAAGTGATTATTTTTCAATTGTAGAAAAATAAAATGATAATACGTGGATTACAAAACGTATTTTATTTAAAACATTTTGGTGTTTTGAACATAGAATAAGAGTAGCGAACACTCTGTCAAGGTATCGAAAGACGTATACAATTTTAAAGGTATCGCAATATCGTTGTTGCAAGTTATCAAAAAATAACCAAGATTTGATTTTTGCATAAATGTCACTGAACTATACAAATTTCTATTATCCATCCAATAATTGAATGTTTCTTTTATGCGGAAGTGTTCCGCTTTCCGATTTCTGTGGAACTGTTGTATGTGCAAATACTCCCCATCTGGAGACCAAGGCCAGGGAGCAGTGCTTCACTCGTAGTGCGTGTCTGACCACTCCTTTTATTCTTACCTCCATGTTTGATTTATTTATTCCGTTACTGAAGTTAAAAGAAAAGTGTTTTATTTGCAACTAATGAAATAACGCTCATCAAAATTCTTAAATACATCTGTTCATTAATTTCAGTTCTTTGCTTCATTTTTCTAGTGATGATACTTTAATTCAATATGGTGATCGCTTTGCAGCTGGAGATGTTTATTTTGCCAGTAAGTATATAATTTTTATGCACAAAAAGTATTTCGTTTAACTCTATTTTACTTAATTAATATCATATATAGGTAATACACTAATGTTTGTTAGAATTGCAACACCATGAAGGAATTATGCAAATTGAACCAAACTTACAGAAAATGTAAAGTGAGACAAGACATGCAAATAATTAGAATTACAAAGCGATTGTGCATGCGCCGGTCGCTTGTTCCATAAAGAATTGTAAAGTTGCGTTGAAATCTGTTTATCCTTTTCTGTCTGCGGTAAACGTTTAATTAGTGATCAATATGCCTCGCCAAAAGCGAAGGCTTCCATACCTAGCAATCGCAACCTGGACAGAGAAGAACCAAGTAAGGGGAAATCCTGGAAGTGGGGTACGCAATATTACAATGGCACAGGAAGGCAGCTACTTCATCCGCATGGCTGTGACGGATCTTACAGCGCCCTGCCGTGTGTTAGCACAACGTTGCAGCATGGCTACAGGTGTTGTGTAGTGTAGCTCTACGTTTCGTCGCCTTCCGCTGCAGCATGAACTGCGTGCAAGGGTTCTTCGTCCGCTGCAGCATGAACTGCGCAGGATTTCCCTGTTGCTGAATCACAGACACCTCCGACTTCAATGGGCACGGCAACACAATGCGTGGTGTGCCCTGTGGCAAAGAATTTTCTCCGATGAATCTCGCTACAATGATGTACAATGGAGTACAATGATGGAATAGTAAACATCAGACATTGCAGAGGGAAACGTCTGCTTCCACAATGTGTTATCAAGCGTCATAAACGCCTAGCATCATGGTCTGGAGCCGCGGTCGCCAACCGGTGGTCCGTGAAATATTTTTAATGGTCCGCAGAAAAATTAGGACATAATTTATGCATTTTTAAGGACATTTTTTACTCATTAATAATTTTCTTTAATTTTTTTATGGTTTTCAAATTCAAATAAAAAATATAAAGACGCATAATGAGGGAGAAAAAGCAAGCGAATATTTTCCATTTCTTTAGTAAAACTAAAGATATAATAACTAATGAAAATGGTATTACTTCATTTAACAGAGGTGATGAATGAATCAAAGCGTCCACATTCCTCGTCACGGTTAGACAGCGTTAGAAAGAACGTTCAAACTACAGGCCCAAAGCAAAAACCCAAAATAACAAGAAAATGTGATCCAGACTACTTGAAATTTAGATTTATTCCAGAACCCGGTAGTTAGCTGAATCTACGGCCATTTGGTATTATGAGAGTTTGTTTAATAATGCCATGAAGCCTTCAAAACTCGAAAGTCACTTGAAATCAAAACACCAAGATTTAGTTAAAAAACTACTTAAATATTTTCAAAAAAATGTGTGAAAATATGAAAAAAAAAAAAAACTGAAACGTTTCAGATTTTAAATGAAGTCCAAAGGGGCGTTTTTTTAACGTTTTGTGTGTTACCTTTATTTATTAAATATCACTTTTGCACTTAAACCATAAAATTCAGTTCAATAGCAATGTCTCAAAATAATTTTTAAATGAGACTATCTTTAGAATTTCCGATACACAGTTCCACGCGCTGGAGATAAAAAGGTTTTTTACCCCGTAGAGTGTTGCCATTGCTCGCTTTTAAAGCGTTGAAGATTTAAAAAATATGAAATCGATAATAAAACAAATTCCAAATTTCACATTTGGTCTTCCACATGCTCATATTCGTAGGAGAATTACATCATTCAAAATTCGATGGCTCTATGAACCGTTGTTTTATCACAATGCGAGGAACATACATACATTTATTCAGATTTTTCATTATTGAATTTTTTCAAATATAATGCAGGACTCTAGCATTTGGTGGCAACAGTTTTAAAAGTGAAACGGACATTTCAACGTAAAATCGCAAAACGAAAGCAATAGTCCTTCAGGGACAAAGCCCATTTGAACTAATAAGTAGGTACCTTAGAAATATGATTCTATAAGGTAAATCCCTTTCAAAGGCTTTCTATCTGATAGCACATGAAACACAGAAAAACAAAAAGCCATATACGATCGGAGAAAAATTATTCAAGCCTTGCGTATTCCAAGCCTGTAAAGAGGTTTTTGGAGAAAAAGCTGTACAGAAACTGAAAGTAAAATGTCTGCTAACACTGTTAAGCCCGAAATTGAGGAAATGACTAAACATGACTGGGCATCGCTCAGGAGGTGTTGCAAAGATGAAAAATGTTAGTCACCCAGACTTTCTGTCCACACACACTGCATTACACATAGTGAACATCTTGTGGTGAAAGAAAATGTCCCCAGAACTACACCAAGTATTACGAGATTTTATTAATATCACAAATTAAATTCGATACAAAGCGCTTAATCCTCGACTATTCGAAGTACTTTGTGAAGGGGAAATAGATTCCCAATATTCACCTTCTTCACCTCACCTCACCGTCTTCTTCACACTGAGGTGAGATGGCTTTCGAGGGGCAAAATACTGACATGAATGTTCGTCCTGCGCGAAGAAATCAAATTATTTTTCAGCAGCAAAATAATGCGGAGTTTCAAGAACTCTAGTCCGACGATAAGTGGGTAGCCAATCTTGCATACCTGGCGGATGAATTTCCTCTGTTAACCGAACTCTCCCCCGGGGTTGACTCAGGCGAACGCCTGGGAAATACTGGTTAAGATCTGCACCTAGGCAGTCTCAACCATGGGGGCATAATAACAGACTTCACAGAAGGCCTGAGGGCTCTCGGACAGAGTAAGGCTCGGCAGGGACTATACTGGTACTGCCTTGTCTACCCTGTGGGGTCGCAACATTGTCGATTGATCAAGGGCGGGGCGGCACTTAATCCCGCTTGGCGCCTATTAGTTCGCATTAGGTCGGAGAGCCGTCTCGTTCCATCAGCGTTGTTAACCGAACTAAATATATACAAGAACAACTTAAACACATGTTTACAGTACGAGTAAAGTAGATGCTTTTCAAAAAATACATCACTGTGGCAAACGCTGTAGAAATCTACAAATGCCTATAAATTTTATTGAAAATATGAGAGAGAACGATCTAAACCAGCAAGTGGTATCCATTATTCAACAGCACTTACAGTCATTGACAGAATGGTTTGGTTTATATCACCTAAAGCAAGAAGATCCTAGGCATGGAAATATGTGGATAATTTATATTCATTTTCAGCAAACACTGAAGATAGCAAATTAAGCATGAATGAAAAAGAAAGGCAGATAGATCGGTCTTGCGCGACAGTTCAAAAACTAAATTCTAGTCATCTTTATAAAGACTTCATTATTGTCTCTCTACAAAAAGAATGAATACCCATCACTCAGTGGAAAAGCTATGAAAATTTTAATTCAAGTTTCAGCAATCTGCTTTTGCGAAAAGACATTTTCTTCTGTAACAGCTGTTAAAACTTGGTACAGGTCACGGCTTGAAATAAACGTGGCTCTTCGTCTTGCAGTGATATCACTAGAACCAAAAATCCACAAACTGATTTCAAACAAACAGGAACAAATATCACACTAAAAAATGTGTAATATTTAAATAAACCTAAATTTTTCATTTCTTTAAATAATTACTCTATAACTCTGTTACCTTTAATGGATGCACTTTATATTAATAAAATAAAAGTTTTCTGATTGCTATTATATAAATGTATTTATCTTTGTTTTCTAAACATATATTAGTGGCTCGCCAAATAAAAAATTTTACATTTAGTGGTCCATGAAGTTCTAAAGTTGGCGACTGCTGGTCTGGGAAGCTATTGCATTTTTCACAAACATTAGTATAGTAAGATTTCAGAGATTACTAATGAGATTTCATTTAAGAATTCTAAAATTTTACTTGAACTAAAAATTGCAGTTGTACAAAATTCTAAAATCCTGAATCTTTTTTACTTGGTATTTGAGAAAACTTGTTTCTTTGATAAAAAATCTCTCATTTTGCATATAGCAAAGTTTCAGTGCTTCCAAACATTTCTGTATATCAAAGTTTTGATAATTACCACATTTCAGATTCTTAAATATTGCAGTATGCTTAAGAATTACCCTCCTCCCCCAAAAAAACTAAATGTTCATCTCTTGTTAATACAAATAGTTAAATTATAAGTTTTGTTTTATTTTAAATTTATGTTCACTTAACGATATTAAATGAAACAATGCATGAAAGACTCTTTTCCTTTCTCAAAATGTACAGTTTATTTGTGTTTATTTATTTACAGTTCACGGAATGGAAGAGATCATGGACTACATATGTGTCAATCAGAGTAGGAACGATGGCGAATGTAGAGTTGTTCTCTTTGTCAAGCTGAAACCGGGTTTTACATTCACTCCAGAACTCAGAGAAAAAATCGCCCTCACCATCGATAGGGAACTGTGGGAAGACTGCGTGCCGCAAGTCATTTTAGAAGTGCCAGATATTCCTGTAAGTGCAAATAAATGTCTGTGAAACTGAAGTAAAGAATGCAAGGAAATAAAATTCGGAAAAAGAAACTTGTTTCTAAATTACTTCGGCGTTTATTAATATTGGGGATGAGTAGGTTCCCATGGGACAGTAAGGCGTTGCCTCTGATTCTCTTACCCTCCGAGAACTGTTTTAGTGTGATCTGTTTAGCATTGTACTACAGTCCAAAGGGTCCTATGTTCCATCGTGATCGGAGCCAAAGAACATCAGGCTTTGCTAGCAAACCACGAACATCGCTCCCTTAACAACTAAGATGCTTAAATCAAGGAAAATGTTTTTCTTGTTTAATATATACAGACAAATCACGGGACCGGCTTGTTCTTCTTCATTAGAAACAGAGGACGCAGAAAGAGCAACATCCTTAGAGGTACAATTTCTTGGCGAACATCCCCGTTAGCAACTAACTGTTCAGATCAGAGATTCCCAAGCCTTTTCTTCCATCGACCTCTTTTGAAAGAATGGTTTTCTTCATTGACACCCTTACATTTTTCTTTATAATATACAGACTACAACGCAATCATAATATAAATAATTACACATATAAAGATATCAGTTAGACTACGAATAGGAATAAAAGCTTTAAAAAATGGTTTTGTTTTATTATTTTTTGAAATATTATTCTTTAATTTTAGAAATATTATAATTAAGTTTTCAGAATCAAAATTACCAAATCTAATCGCACAAAAGCCCTATTTTAATGAATGTTACGGCTGCGTTTGATGTATTGATGAATCTATTTTAATATTTGGCATAAAACTGCGTAATTCTTAAATCGCATCTTTTAAAACTATTTAACCCGTTTCATGATCTCCGTATTAAATTATTCACTTGACGGAAGCCTGCGACTAGGTTAGAAAAGAGAAAATATAATAATGTTTCAGTAATAACTTTTATTTTGGGATATTTCTATCGAATAAGCTTTAACTTCTAGGATTTAGCGCACCCCTCTGTTTTGAATTAAACTTGCGCTTGAACATCTTCCTTCAATACTATTGTCTTGCTTTTTTAGTTGTGTTATCTTGTAATCCTGCGTTTTACATTTTATATTGCACTTTTTGCATAAAAATATTATTGGTTTTTATAATAAATTAAATAATTTGCGTGTGTTATTCTCCTTATATTTATTTCGTATGATATATTCCTTAGATGATTTGGCTTTGTATCAATAAGCAATTAATTATCAAATTTATAATATGAATAATTTTTATAATTAATGGGATCTTCATTCCGCCGATAAATTTGCTGTGCATATTCGGCTATGGAAACCCTGATCATCACTGTTCCCTACCATACCGTGGTTTCCCCATGTATAAAGTGTATACGAGCTAATTCCCCTTAGAAAGTCATCCACGAAGGCATCCCTCCCCTTAGGCAGATAGCCCTAGTGTGCTTTGCCACAATTAAATACACACACACCCTACCATACCGACTCCGTTGGGATTCCCTGGTATAGACAAGCTAACAGATGGTTCTCATTGCCAAACATAGATGGCTCCCGGAGACCAACGTGGTGCTAAAAACTAAGGATGACACAGCGCTTTCTGCTGTGTTGCTGCATATTTTAGGTATGTTCAAGAACAGTGATGATGCTTCAGGGATGCAACTGACTTATTCTTTCGAACTGAAGTTAACCTTTTGTGCAAATTACGTTAATTTTCTCCACTCTTCTTATTATAAATTACTGTTCGTTTATGGAACGAAAGCTTACAGAATTCAAAAAACTTTTGAAGTGTTGATGTTTTTCATAATTTTCACATGCTTTTTGACAAATAATGACTGTTGTGCTCCTCCTGTTTGTTGCAAATATGCGAACGCCTGCTTAAACTATTTTTCCCTCATATGTATTTTTCCTACAGATATCATTTTTACAATTTTAAAAGTCTTTTCCATGAATTTCTGAAACAAAACACTACATTTCCATTTACTACATGATACAGGATATAAATTACATTTCCATTCATTTTTCTTTACCAGCATTACCTATAAATTTGTAATAAATATAAAGATGCCTTTTCAAACTCCAGAATTAAGGTATTTTGGCCGTATTTTGGCTTATAAAGTACCAATAAACTGGTGCCATTTCTATCATTAATTATCTTCAGAAATACTACATTTCTATTTATTGCTTGATACATGATATAAACAACAATCCACTCCTATTTCTTTACCGACTTTACTTATAAATATGTAATATGTATAAAGATGCCTTTTGAAAAACTCCAGAATTGTTAAGGTAGTTTGCTCGTCTTTTGAGTTATAATGTGCCAGAGAACATATAATTTCAATCATTATCTTCAGAGGTATTTTTCTGCAAGTGGTATGTAAGTGCTCTCTTCACACATGTGTTTTTAACATCAGATCGTTGATTATTATAGTTGTTTTATCCCTTTCTTTTCAGTACAATGTGAATAACAAGCGACTAGAAGGTGTTGTTCGAAAGATAGTGGCAACCAACCAGATTCCTCAAGTGAACAATATCACTAATCCTGAGTGCTTGAAATACTTTTGTGATATACCAGAGCTGCTAAGCTACAATGTCTGAAAAAAGCCATTGAATTAGCGTCCATTTTTGTAAGATTGTGATAGTTTGATGCGACATCAAATACTATGCGAATTTTAATGCACCTATGCGTGGAACAAATGCATTATCTACAGACTGCATATACATCTTTTCGAAAGCCTTTATCTACTGAATGAGAATAAATACTGTATGTATCATTTCAACAAATTGCTGCAAAAGAAATAAATACATTTTACATATATATTTACTTGAAGTGTTTATTTATTTATTTTTGCGAGAGAGTTATTATTTATTCATTTATTTTTGAGCATTTCTTAAATAATTTATGCATTGCTTAGTATGTTTAGTGTATTTTACTGTATTACTACTATTCTAATTTAGTGTATTACGTTTAGTGTATTTTATTACCTCATGAACACTCATCTTCATATTTCCGCCTTCGTGCGACGATGTACTAGTGTACATCATATTTTTTTCAAGCAAATGTTAATATGTTATTAATATGTAATATATTGGTTAAAACTCTCTTTGTAGTTGTGTACCAGAAGTGAATAAATGATCGTCGATCCACCTCTCAGTTTAATCGTTTACTTAGTTCTTGTTGCTAATTGTAGCGAATTCGCGGTGAGATCGGATTAGCTTTCTCTTCGTTTGAATTGTGTTCTATTTGAAGTTTTTTACTACATTTAAAGAAGAGATAAAACATTCCGTTAAAGAAGAAATGAAATCAGTCAAAGAAAGATGGTTGCTGGTCAAGAACAAATGAATTTCGACCAAGAATCCGTTAAGGAAGAGATGAAAGCCGTTCAAGCCGGCCAAGGATCCGTTAAAGTAGAGAGGAAAATCGTTCAAGAAAGATGGAATAATACGTTAAAGAAGAGATGAGATCTATTAAACAGGAAATGGAAAGAGAAATTACTTGCATAATAGAAGACAAGTTCGAGGCTAGGGAAGGAAGAATACACATATTTAAAGAGAGAATTGGAGAAATGCAAGAAATAGTTTCTGCGGTGGAGCAACGAATTGAAGAAAGAGTTTTCTGCAGCCCAACACCAAATCGATGACAGGGCTTCTGCGGTGGCCAAGGAGCAGTACAAATGGTTTTAAAGTTTTATCGATGCCTGCGCGTCCCTCTCTGAAACTATCTACATATGATGGGAAGAACACTTGGCAGTGTATAAGACACAATCTTCTATAGTGTCAGTCGCGAATGGATGGGATTCACAAACTAAGGCCTGTTATCTCGCCGCTTCTCTGAGAGCAGCTGCAGCAGATATCCTTCAAAACCTCCCAGAAAACCAAAGGTTAGATTTCGAAGTTCTGTCCGGCGCTTTGGAGAGAAATGATTAAAAGACTACAGTAGGCTTCAATTAAAATCCCGTCAACAGAAGCCCACAGAAACACTCCACGGGTATTGAAAGGCTGTCTCACCTCGCCTTTACGGAGTGCCCGAGAGAAACAGGGGAAATAATCTACCTGAAGTACGTCATCGATGGCATTCAGGATTCGGAAATACGGAAATTTCTACGAAAGGCGGATGTCAAGGACCTAAAACGCGCTTTGGTGTACGTCATGAAATTCGAGGCAGCCCAGCTAGCAATTTGCGAAGATCGCCAACCAGTCAGAGCCGCTCAAGTACAAGAGCCAGTGGATCAAATGACTGCTCATCTTAACGATTTAACTAGACAAGTCAATACCTTGAGGCGGAATATGTGCGACATGAAACAAACACTAAAGTGCTGGAACTACGGTGCTGAAGGACACATACGAAGAAACTGCAGAACACCCCAGGGCACGGATGTTAAGACCGCGCCTATCAAGAAGGAGGAAAATTAATTAGCGGCCATCTCGCGGGGCTGAGGTTGCCAGATAATGAAAAAACCCAGTTTAAGCGCTTCCGATTTCTGCAGTGAGTGGCGGCAGTAACGGACGTTTCATAATGGGACATATCAATGGAATTCCTCGTAATATGACCATAGACACAGAAGCCAATGTTACCACCCAAGTAGCACAGCAATGTCGTAACGACGTTGCAAACTGGTCCGAGAGGTTGCAAAGTGGTAACATTTACGACGTCTTTTACAACGTTGCGAAAACGCAAAGTATTTGTCATTGCTCCTGGCAATTTGTCGACGTCGCTGAAACGTCATGATATGAACGCTTTTCGACGTGGTCGTTTTAGCATCTTTTTCATAGATCAGTGTCACTTTTAGAATGAAAAGAGACTAAATCTGTCCTCTCAAGAATCTGAAGTCCAAATAAGATATATTTTGCAATGTTTCATTACTTTATTTTAGTTAAATATATTAATCTAAGGTAGATTCATTTAATGAAATATAAATTTAATATAAATGCTTGAATTATTTAATTTAATTAGTACTAAAATACGTGCTAAATTATTGTCAAAATTTTGTTAAAATAATTAATACTTAAAATATTTTTATAAATATAGCAAAATATTTAAAAATGAAACTAATCTATAAAGCAAGTTATTAAATTATGCGTTTTATATACTTAAAAAAATCCTATTTCTGATATCAGTGCAATTCACATGTTAGCAATTATTTTACTGCTGAAATATGACTTTATTATTTTTGAAGTAAGGATGAATTTATTTGAATGAATATGCTGATATAATATGAAACATTTTTACCGCATACAGAGCAAAAAGTACAATTTTCGCGAAGATATGGTTGTGCATGAAGATGTATTCATGGTTACAAATGGGGCGATTTTAAGAATTCTGTGAAAAAGTCCAATGTTAAAAGACGTTGCATATCCATGCATATTTAACGGCTGTCCAATATATCTGACGGAAAACTGACCGACAGCTAGGAGAAGCAGAAGTGAAAAAATTAATGGAAAATGAGAAAGAAATATTAACACTTTTAATGGAAAACGACAAAATTAATGGCTTTCATTAATTACTAATAAATGATGACATCAAAATTAGAGAAAATGTGAACAAAAATACGAAATTCATTACCTATAAAAGTTCTGATGAACTGTTTTGTTACGTTTTTGTCACCTCCATGCATTTAGAAATGCTTGATTTAATCCTAATATACAGTACACTCGGGATTTGGCGATATTGACATTACAAATGCTTTAGCGAGCCCAATAAATATTTTTTTTGTAAATATAATCTTTTGAGCACCGTTCGTAATTCTATTCAGTTGAAATAATTCTTCTATGCCATTTTAAAAAGATTCTATTGAATTAACAGAAGAACCGTAGAAAGGTTTAGACTGAACTGCTGTTCGAGAGATTGACATTCCATGTACATATTATTTACCGGATGATTATATAAACGAACATCTGAGCTCGAGGCTTGCGCGCTTTGGCTAGTTGTCATTAACGGTGCAATAATTTCAGGCTCCATCTTTTTTTGAGAAATATTTTCTTCACGGTTTTCTAATTCACCGTCGGAATTAAATACTGGAGGGATTCAATACGGCAAGAGAACGATGGAAAAGAATATAATGATGGCAGTTTATCTTGAATTGAGGAGGAATCATGATAGTGATGCCGAATTTCTGCTTATTTTGTTTGTGAATATTTGCTCTATAATGCAATGTGCTACGTCCTACAATGAAATAGTGTTTTTTTTTGTGTGTGTTTTATGTTTCTGGTGATTAAACTTACATAGTGGTGTTCTTCAATTTTCAGTGATCCAGCGGTGCAATATTTGGATACACGGATTCGGTTATAACGTCCTAAGCGCTATATCGTATATCACTCATATTAAATGAACAGGTTTGTGCTCAGACTTTCCGCATATGATCGAAAAAAATAAATAGTGTTAAGGAAACATTAGGATTGCTTTGAAACATTGTAATCTATAATTATGCGATATTCAAAAGTGTAATATTAAAAAACACTAAATATTTTTTTATTTGATTGCAAATTGCAGTTTTATTACTTGTCGTTTGGTAGCTATTCTTCCAAACACTATGTAATTCGCGTTTTTTTAAATATTGCTGTTATGTATGTCTATTAGATTAGCTCAATAAATGAATTTTGGAAATTAGGTTTTATTCTTTATTAAATTTAAGTATATTCTATTTCCTTCGCTTACATTTTATGTACAGATGATAATAAAGAAATTCATAATAAAACAAAAAGTTTCATCGTGTGCTATTTAACGAAGAGCTTGAACGTACTTAGCTTACTATCGTATACTATATTATTTAAATTATTTAGTATCAAAAGAAAAGTTATTGATTATAAAAAGTGCATGAAATGATCATTGTAATCTACCACTATTCTAAAATGTAGAAACTAATAGTAAGTAAATACATTTATATATAATCGAAAGAAATGGTGTTAAGAAACATCAGCATTACTAATAAATACTGCAATGCATAATTATTGCACTTTTAATTGCTTACTATTTAAAAAACACAAATATTTTTTATTAATTGTAAATTTTAGTACTGTTACCTTCCTTCTGTTATTTATGCTTTCAAACACTAATAGCTCATGTTTTTTCTTAAATAGTGCTGTCATGTATGTTGTTTGTTAGGTTATTATTTCATTTTAGATATGAATATGCGAAGTTATTAGATTTAGGTATATTTTTGTATGAAATACTTTTGATCACATTTATTAACTACTTTATACTGTTTTTCATTTGCATATCTTGGAGATATAGAAGTTAATGGTTATATTTTTTACTGTGAAACGCGAATAAATTTATATAAATTTATATTTGACTTCAGGTAAAATATTGATTATGTTACCTTAAGAACCACTTCCTAATTTATCATGATAGGGGCAATTTTCAGTACCTCTGAGATTTAACAGAAATAAATGTGATAATCCTGTTATCAGAAACCCTCTTTTTTTACCCACATATGTATCTTTACTTTTATTTATGTCTAATTGAGTTTTATTTCATTAAAACCTACTATTAATGTTATATATTTATAACAACCACTTTCATAATTGCTCTCACTTAAGGAAAAAAATGATGAAATCTTAAATAATCGTAACTTAGAATTTAAGTTATTTAAAAAATA